CTTTCACTTTACAAACGATAATTTTCCGTTATAACTATAAATCAAATGATGTTTTTTATTCACCTAATTCATTATAAAGTTTATTTAAAAAATTCGAAATTGAAATGTTAATAGTCTAGGGAACATACTGTATTAATGTACTCTACTGCATATAATTTGTGAACATTTACATGATTTGTACACTTTGAACTCCCTTTCAGGCTGAAAGAGACTGAAAAATTCATACCGAGAGATTCTTTAAATTCCCCTCTAATATATATTCTATTCTCTATGGATTTTGAGGATACAAGGAGAAGGATGTGATACAGGGAAAAAGGTGGAAAGGATACAGGGGGACGAATGCAGGGATACAGGAAGGATGATGGGGGGATACATGGAGAAGAATTGAAAGAATACAAGGAAAGGGATAAAGAGGATACAGGAAGAAGGATGGAGAGGATAAATGAAAGAATGGAAAGGATACAGGGAGTAGGTTGGCGAGGATACCTAAGGAGAAGGGTGGAAAGGATACATGGAGAAGGATGGAGAGGTAGCAAGTATAAGGATGGAGAGGATACCGGGAGAAGGGTGTATAAAATTTTTCTATTCCATCATTGTATCCATTTTTTAACATAGGGCTAGGCAAAGTTCCTTCAACAAAACGAAGGTTTTCAAAAATTAATGGAAGAGTCCGTTAGCAAACGGCAAAAACCACTAACTTTAAATGTTTTAGAAGAAAGAAATTACGGTTGAAAACAAAACTTTTATTCTTTTTTTTCTTAAATTGCATTAACTTGCAAAAAAAAAATATTTATGAATTTTGATGTTTGTAAAAGATAAAAATATAAATAGTCATTAATATAAAGGAATTTTTTAAGATTTCTTTTGCAATTTGGCGATGGCTTGCACCATAAATCCAATTTGATTACACATTAATGATGGAACTTTTCGAATTTTTCCAGACCGTTAACACCGTTAATACTACAAACAACCAATAACAGCTTATGCTGTTAATGATTTCACAATTCGTTAACGAATTTTTGTATTTTGCGCAATTTCTGAACTGTAAATGATATAAATTGCAAAAAACAACCATTAACAAAACAAATTTTACCTTTAAAATAAACGGCTACCTGAATTTTTTTTTGTCGGTTGGAACTAAGTTAACAAAACAGCTTGAACAAGTTGGAGAGTGCCCAGCCCTATTTAAAAAATCTTTACACAACTAATCCCCCATGCATCTTGAATTATCTAGTTGATCCAATGTAAAAAATACATTGTCATGAGAGTTACTTCCAAGGGTTGTGTTCCCCTGGAAAGTTATATCCAGCTTCCCTTACCCTTTTTTCTATTGAAGGTTTTTAAAGAAGCTGCGGGATTACTCTCTCTCTTAACAGATGCTTTGAAGGGGAAGGTTGCAACTTTATCTTGAACCCTGGAGATGGACCAAGCTTTCTCCGCCACCAAGACAGTTCTCTCCGAAGTTCCAACCATAGTTCATCCTGATCCGTCCGAAAAGATCTCTCTCTCTGTAGATGCTTCAGGATCACACATCGGAGCTGTCCTACAACAAGAGGTCGCAGGTTTGTGGGCTCCGTTGGCTATCAACTCCAAGAAGCTGTCTTCCGGCGAGTCAAGATATTCTGCCTTTAATCGGGAGCTGTTTGCTGCTTATTCTGCCCTCCGCCATTTCCGTTTTTTCCTAGAAGGTAAAAAGTTTGTTTTGTTAACTGATCACAAGCCACTTACTCATGCCTTGTAAGAACTTCTCCGCCCTGGTCAGCCATTCTGCAACGCCACCTCTTTTTCCATTTGAGTTCAACTTTGATATCCGCCATCTCTCAGGAGCAGAAAATGTAGTGGCAGATGCTCTGTCTCGTCCTGATACTGCTCATTCTCCGTCTGTGCCAAAGTCCCCTCATCCTTCTGATGTCCTGATGTCAAATGTGTCGGAGGTGTTTGATGTCGGAGATGTCAAATCTGATGGCATCCTCTCTTTCTTCTCCTTCTCCAATAGTATCTCCACCTACCCCACCAATTTTTCTGGGAATTTCATATTCTAAAATGTCACTTCTCCAACATTTCTGTTCTAAGGTTCAAAACCTTCGCCAATCCTCCGCCATGAAAATTGTGCCGGTCCCTGTATCCGGTTCCAAACTCTTCTGTGATCTGTCAACTGGTGTTATCTGTCCTCTAGTCCCAGAGCCAATGAGAAGAGTAGTTTTTGAGTCCATCAACATCATGTCCAGAGATGTAAACCTGTGGACCCAGTCCTGTATTAGTTGTCAACGAAGTAAGGTTCAGACTCATATAAAAACTCGAGTTCAGACTCGTATAAAAACTCCAGTTCAGACTCATATAAAAACTCCAGTTCAGACTCATATAAAAACTCCAGTTCACACTCATATAAGAAGTCTAGTTAGACCTCTACCCCAGTTTTGTGGTTTTTCTTATCTGTTCACTATCATCGTTTCACAAGATGGCTGGAGGCAATCCCTCTGCAGTTCATTACAGCAGAAGATTCTGTGCGTGTCCTCCTACGTTCAAAGATCCCTATGTTCGGAGTGTCATTGGTAATAATATTCGACTGTGGTGCACAATTTACTGGTTCTATTTGGTCATCCTTATGCAAGTTTCTAGGAACAGTTAACTCTCCAACTACGTCCTTCCATCCTCAGTCTAATGGGATTGTGGAGAGGTTCTGCAGAAGGTTTCCCTCTGTGCTAGACTTGCTGGGTCTGATTGGTTTCATCACCTTTCCCTGGTTCTACTCGAACTCCAGAGCGTTCCCAGAGAACATTTGTTAATTTCCTCCTCTGAAGCTGTTTTGATTCTCCTTTGGTTTTTTCCTGGCGAGTTCCTATATAGTCCTAAAGTCCCTTCTCCAGAATATCTTCGCCAAATCCAGCAGATCATCAAAAGTAATCCAGTTTTTCCACCACATCACAGTTCAAATCCGTCAAATTCCGCCAAGTTTGCTCAGTTCGATCTCATGTGTTTGTGAGAGAAGATTTGTCCAAGCATCCACTTTCTCCGCTCTACAGAAGTCCTTACTAAATGGTTTCTCGTTCTCCCAAGTATTTTTCTCTCCAGATGAGTTCCAAATCAGACTCAGTCTCTGTGGATCGACTGAAACCAGTGCTCTCAGAGTTCCCTGTGACAGCTCAAGAGCCCCCTCGAAGAGGTAGACCTCCGTTGACTCAGAAACCACCGGTTATGAAACCTCTGGCTCCAGTACCTCCGGCTCATTCATCTCGATCCGACTCCAAGTTGTCCTACACCAAGTTGTCCTACACCTCTTCCAACAGCTACAGGTCCAAGGAAGAAGTTTAGTTTTTCTCTTCCAGTGCCTGATGCATCCTCTGCCAGGGGAAACCCAAAACTTGTTAGAAATAAGCATATTGTTCCTCTACAAGTTCCCAAGATGCTGGGGGGACCCCTGTGCAGGAGCTAGAATAACGTCTTTTACTTCCGGTGCTTGAAAACCAAACCAAATATATATATCTAGTTCATAAAAACTCGAGTTTTATTTTTAGAATAAATATAGATTTAGTACGTTTATTTCTTTCGTCATTTTGCGTCGCTACAGAAGCATAATAATGATATTAAAAGCACAAATTATGATCTTTATTTCGAAACATACAAATAATTAGATTTTGAATTAAGTGGAAGCAAGCTTAGAAAATTTGAGTTAAAATAAATAACCATGCAAAATTTGCATAAAAATTTTTTAAAATATTTTTTTTTTAATGTTCTTTAAATTCTGACAAACATAATTTTACTGAAAAGGCAGGAATTTTCAGATACAATTGTTGCAATTGCAATAAGGCAAATACTTTTATACCAATAAATTTGTATTATGTTTTTAATTTCTTTATTCTGTTTGGACACAAAGCCAAAAAAATATGCTTGAAATTTTGTTATCATGGCTAACAAGGCCAGTAAAGAGAAAAAATTAATTATTTTAAAAAATTCCATCAATTTTACTGAAAAAACCGTTTTTTACAATTAGAATACAGAAAAAGAGTGTTTCACATTGGATTTATCTTCAAATTGAAAAGAAAAAAGAAAAAAGAGAAAATGTCCATGCTTTTTCTTAAGAAAATTATAAGTTGTCGATGAAAGGGGGTTCAAGCTGTTGGAGAGCTTAATATACCAAGCACTTGAAAGTTATCATAGTTGAGAACAATAATTCGTTTCCATACTTGAAAAATATAATTTCATAAATATTATGAAATCAAAAAAAATAGTTTAGCAAATATAACAGTACATTGAGAAAAAAGAACATTTATGCATAATTTCTAAAAAATTCAAAAAGTATGTCGAAAAAATTTCAAAATAGTTATTTTTACTTTTGAAAAATATTAACATATGACACATGTTATTATATCCGTTTTTCAAGGCATAAAAAAAGTTATTAACCATTTCAGATTTTTTTGAAACACCAACCCGCCGTTTGACCGTTCTTTATCCTTCCCTATGCATAAAAAAAATGTTACAGCAAAATTTTTTCACAACCATGATGTTGAAAAAGTGAAGAAGTTTTAGCGTTCAAATTTAAGTCATTTTTAAGTTATTTAGAAGAAACCACATGGGTGGTGGAAAACACCCCCCCCCCCCTCAATCGTGATAGGGTTAAGGGCTACAATCGAATATGCCAATCTATTGATAGAATTACTTGAAATTATGTCTACAGTTCCTTTAATATCAATGATTTTTTTCAAGCTTTAACTTTTTGATTATTGTTATGAAATGTAAGCTTTAATTTTTCAAAAAGTTATTTGATAATTGTAAATATCTAAATCAAATAACAACTGAGGTCGAATTTTAAAAAAATGATCCGCGGCTTAAATATGGTTGGTTACACTTAAAATTGTATCAAATGTTTCAAGATTTAAGCCGGCGCTTAATTTAAACCGGGTTTTGGCGGGTTTAAGCCGCGGCTCAAATTCTTTAAATTCAGCCTCTGGTAATCTTTTTAGTGTTGTACGATAACCTTTATTAATGATGGGGTTTAAAGGGCAGTTTAAAGGGACCGTTTTTGCAGTTTAAAGGGACTGTTTTTGCAGTTTAAAGGGACCGTTTTTGTTAATTTCAGTAATCCACCATTAAAGAGGGATATGCTCTACAACGGTATCCTAGAAAATTTAATCTAATTCATCATAGTAAGGAAGTTTCTAACTTGAAAGGTTTGTAGTGATTACAATTGTTTATTGTTTCTTATGGAAGAAACGCTGAAGTCATTTTTGTAGAGAAATTCCACGAATAAACATAATAAGATTTCAACGACAAACAAATAAGAATATCTAAGTTCAAAGTTTTTACGGGTGCCGTTGTAAATCAGACATGTCACTCTATCAATGAAGGGTCACTTCAAGTAAAGGGTACAGTCCCTTGAAATCACGATTTTTGTTGTCGCATATTTCCACTGGTTGATTAGGTCTGACGAGGATAGTTTGCTGGTGGAGGTTTCTCAGATTCTAAATAAATATTCATAAAGCACATTTTTTCGAATAACATATTCGTATTGTTTTCGGAAATATCGTAATTATGTAACAAAAAAGAATATTTTATCTAGGAAACTATTGTCTGTGAGAAAATGCATGATCAAATTTTTTCATAAGAAAGACAATTGTTCAATTTATGATTTTTAACTGATTTATGTCTACAATTAAGTCCTAAATGTTTAAAAATTAAACAAAAATAAAAATTTGATTTATTTTCAAATTGTAAGTCATTTTTTCTTCAAAAAAAGGCAATTCACATTGGTACCTTTGATCATATAAAGGTTTTAGGGTACCGTTGTGAATCTGGCATTGCATCACACTAACAGTCTCTTTCAGAAAGGAGAAGACGACAATTATTACATTTTTTCTGGTTAGCACTGTATTTCTACCTGGGAGAGGGGCTCCTCCTGCATATCCCATAGGAGGAGGAGGAGCTCCTTTCATTACTGCAGCTCTAAACCTTTCTTCCTTCTCATCCGCCATATTCACTTTATCCGCTACACCCAGCACTCCCATAGCTGTCATTGTATTGTTGCCTGGGTAATGAAATATATATATATAAAGTGGTAATCTCCGTTTAATTTGTAATTCCGGCCAAAACTTGTCTAAATATTTGTATCGGAAAACTATGTGTATAGATCTCTTAAATTTGCTCTCTTTTTTACTTGTCATCTTTGGGTGTCTGGATGCTAGTAAATATGTGTCCGATCATAACTCAGAAACTCTTAAAGAATTATTCTCAAAGTTTGATTGGAGAATTCGAAAGAACCATGGAAGTGTGTTTATCTAAGCTAAGTGGGATGATTTTTTTAGTAAAAGTTTAAACTGCTAGGCAAAGCTGGGTTCCTAAGATAGTATCAACAACAAATAAAGAAATGATTAAAACTGGAGGGAACCAGGAATGTAAGAAGAAGAGAAAAATGTTGTAACACTATACTTTCAAGAAGACTCACTAGAGGTAAAAAAAAAAAAAAAAATCTGTTTATGTTGAAATTATTTTTAATCTTTTGGGGTGTTTGATTGAACCCTAATCATACCTGTGTACATTCCAGCGCCAGCCAACACTGCTTCAGGAGCCACATTCATAAGTCCAGCTAAACAAAACATTAGAAATATTTCCTCATTCTAATAGGAAAAATGTGAATTTTAGTTTGATATAAATTTGTTCTTAATTTAGACTTTAAGAATAGCTTTTATCTTTATGGCTTTAGATTTCATTTTTTTCAAGAATTAATATTGATTTCATGAATACATTTTGGTTCCGGGAACAGCATCTGTAAAATCAATTAAGAACATCAAACTTTATTGCCACCTATCCCCCCTCCCTCATCCCCCTTCCTCATCCCTCATCCCCCCTCCCTCATCCCCCTTCCTCATCCCTCATCCCCCCTCCCTCATCCCCCCTCCCTATCCCCCCTTCCTCATACTGTGGAAGATTACAAACTTGTAGTTGATGCTGGGGGAATATATCCAGGTTGGTATTGGGGAACTGGGGCATATCCTTGTGGATATCCATATCCAGGAGTAGGATATCCTTGAGGAGGTGGATATCCACCTGGAGGAGGATACCCTCCTGGGGCAGGATAACCCCCTGGTGGTGGATATCCAGGGTTAGGCACTGCAGTATAACCTCCCTAAAATAGAAAATTGGAAAAGTCGTCTTCATTGTATTGATATAAACTCCGACCAACTGTATTTTAACCTGTATTTGAGCAGCCCTGGCCTCGTCTTCTCTCTGTTCCTTCTTGTCCGCCATTTCTCCCGCTGCTACAGCTGCTAGCGCCGCCATTTGAGTATTCTACAAATTCCGTGTCAAAGTTTTATATTTTTTTGAAAAATAATTCGCCCTCCCCCCTCTTGAAAATTATTTATGCCTCAATGTTATGAATATTTTTTTTAATTGAGTAAATATTGCTTTTAAAAATATGTAGATATTGAAGTATTACTAGAAAATTGTAATAATTTAAAAAATATTTTTCCGCCTTTTTACCTGATCCATTTGTTTAAACCTGTATCTTGGATCTAACTGACGTATCTTCTCTCTAGTTGATCAAAAACATATTTGATCTTCCGGTTAACAACTTGATTAAAAGGACTGTGATTCTCCCTGCGAAGATGGAAATATTTAACCCAGAACTGTTCCCACATATTTCATTATTTACTTATTTTTTAAGATTACTGAGATGTGGGTAAACAACCCAATGAAAAATTGGCAAGACGACATTTTAAAAGTTCTTTCGATTGCTCCAAAGTTCTGGATTAAATTGAATGATTTTCTTTGCTTATGCTTTTGTTTATTTACATTTGTGATTTTTTTTTGGTCTGCATGTTTATTAAAAATAATAAATGTTTTTTTCCTGACTCGTTCACAACATTTACAGCAGCAGCAGGCTGCACAGATAGATCCACAACATGTTGCAAAAAATGCCCCTTAAAAATTCAATTTCAAGATCAGATCTCAATGAAAACTTAAACTTATTTTGATTAAATTAATTTTCTTTTATACAACCCTTTAAAGATGGGGGGGCAATTAATCTTAATATCGTTTTTAACGCCAGCTCATTTTTCATCAAGTATCATAATGAAAGCTGTCGAGAGCAAACAAACCATTCGAGTTTAATCTTACCAACAGAAAGACCGAAAATGTAGAAATCTGTTTCATCAACTTGGTTCTTCAAATACTCCTCTGACTCCCTGTAATAAGATTGATTTAAATATTGTTTTACAGTCCCTTTAACCTAATTGATTGAAATATTGTTTACAACCCCTTTAACCTTATTGATTGAAATATTATTTACAGTCCCTTTAACCTAATTGATTGAAATATTGTTTACAACCCCTTTAACCTTATTGATTGAAATATTATTTACAGTCCCTTTAACCTTATTGATTGAAATATTGTTTACAACCCCTTTAACCTAATTGATTGAAATATTGTTTACAACCCCTTTAACCTGATTGATTGAAATATTGTATACTGTCCCTTTAACCTTATTGATTGAAATATTGTTTACAGTCACTTTAACCTAATTGATTGAAATATTGTTTACAGTCCCTTTAACCTAATTGATTGAATATTGTTTACAGTCCCTTTAACCTGATTGATTGAAATATTGTTTACAGTCCCTTTAACCTGATTGATTGAAATATTGTTTACAGTCCCTTTTAACCTGATTGATTGCAATATTGTTTACAGTCCCTTTAACCTGATTGATTGAAATATTGTTTACAGTCCCTTTAACCTAATTGATTGAATATTGTTTACTGTCCCTTTAACTTGATTGATTGCAATATTGTTTACAGTCCCTTTAACCTGATTGATTAAAATATTGTTTTACAGTAACTTTGACCTAATTGATTGAAATATTGTTTACAGTCCCTTTAACCTAAATTGATTGAAATATGGTGTACAGTATTTTTAGACGATCAGATTCTATGAAGCTAAGAACAGCTTTTTATTATAAATTATGTGCGTCAATTAAAGCAACATCCCCACCCAACCCAACTCTAATTCGACGATCGCACTGTGAAGCGTAGGAAAAAAAACTAAGAGGTTTGATCGGGAAAAAATATCTAATTCAATAACCGCAACGGCTACAGCCATAATTATGGTAAATAAGCCTAAGGCTAATTATTTAAACCCTCTTATGGCCACAGCCTGAGACCTTCAGCGAGAGGGTAATTTTAACACCTTTTGGCTGAAAGGACTTAACTTTAAAAGTTTGAAGGGATTAAAATCACAGCCTAGGTCCCCCTTGAAATATCAATTCAACTTCTTAAAATTACGACCTAAAATCTTGATCGGTAAATTAATTATAACGCCTTTCGGGTGGAGGGGTTAATAGCACTTTTAAGTTAAAAAATTAAGGCTAATTTGCGTTAATTTTTGTTGTTGGTCGTTTTCTAGAAAATGTAAAAAAAACTTACTCATCTAATATGAAACACATGTTCATTCTCAATTCTTCCTCTGTATACCCTTGTTCTGGTTGAGATGGATTCTTTGACTTTAAAGCGTTTACTATATCCTGAAAAAGTATGATAAAGAAAATAAAAATGAAATAATATTTTTGTTAAAATATTGAATACTTTCAAAATTAAAAATTGAATTCTAAAGAAACATAAAGCTTTGTTGCGGTTTGCAAAGGGTTTCTTTATAAAAGTGGATTTGAATATACTGTAAATATAATTTTCAAAATCGCGTAATGCAGCGATTCCGTCACTAATATCGAATTAACCATATCAAAATGTTGAACTATTTTGTTGATCCCGGGAATTAGGAATATTCTGATTTATTTATTATTTTAATCAAAAATTCTTTATACGATATTAAATTCCACGTGCAAGTGACTTTTATTCTACTTTATTGACTAAATTATTCAGTAATTAGAAATTACATAGCGCCACCAACACGGTCCCATGTTGTAGACATTTGATAATTTATACTATAAACTATTGTAGGACAGCTAGGCTAAGTGTACTATCAGAAAACTCTTGATAATTCTAGACAGCATTATTGTTTAGGACGATATAATACCCTAGCTTCTAGTTTACGTGTCAAATCCAAAAGATATATATGAAAACCTTTTTTGTGACACAAAGTGATTTCAATTCTTCTTTTTTCCAGCAGTGCTTACCTTGTTTTGGGTATTGTTCGTGTTCTCGATATCGAAGCAGTTGACATCTATGAAAACTTGACACTCCATCGTTCTGAGGAAATCGTTTAAGTAAGGGTTTAAGTTAAAATAAATATACAAAATAAATTTAAAATAAATAAACAAATAAATGAATAAATGAATAAATGTATAAATAAAATAAATACACAACATGAAGGATCCTTTAAATTTACAAGAATAGTCCCCTTCTTAAAGACTTACTTGGTGTTCCACACTGTTCCTTGTCTGCACTTGCATCTATCAATGTTACGGTCACAGATCAGATTTACTCCTGCAAGGTTTCAAAAAGTCATTGATATATAAAAACGTTAAATAAAAAGGGGGTTTAAAGATTTAACGGTGAAGGGGGGGGGGGTTAAAGGTCTGTTTTGTGATTTTAAGAGGAATGTATAACTTAGTTACCAAAGGCACAAAAAGTTTTTTTTATAACTAGGCTTTGAAAAGTTTACCTCTTTCGTTGCAGGGCCTTCCATGAGCAGTGCAGTTCTAGAAAAATATAAACTTCAAGTTATTTTTTTAAATTTTGAGATATTTGTGTTCAGTAAAAATTGCTTGAACAAAATGTCAGAGAAATAAAAATGTCAAATTTTTTTAAAATTAATGTTTAACTTTTTTTTGACAAATCAACATTTGCTAGAAATTTTCAAAATTGCAAATTGCAAAATAATGTGCTGTAAACGTGTGGACAAAGATAAATATCTACACATATGCATAACAGCATAAATACAAATTCTAGCATAAATACAAATTGGGTTATCAGTGCTAAACAGTTTTTGAAAATAAATTTTCAGATTAATGTCCCGAGGTTAAACTAACGAAGACGCAGAAATAAAAATAAATATATTTTTAACAAATAGGCAAAGTGCTATTTAAATTTGTTTTATAAATCTCAATAAAAATGTTCATGCAAATTTAATTTTCATTTTTATTTAAAAATGGATTCTTAGAGTAATACCCATATGGTGATTACGCAATAATTTTAATGGAAAAAATATAAAAATGATTAAATGGTTAAATACAAACTAACCTGTTCATATGGGTCAAAATGTTTGATGAAAGGAGGCAGCTGGCATTTAGGATCATTTGCATGCTAAATTATTGCAAAGATTTTATTAGTTTAAAGAATTACTTTTATTAAAAACTTTTTCCTGATTCTGGATTAGTGAAAAATTTGCGTGGTTGGTTGGGGTGGGAATTTTCAAACTAAACTCCTTTGAGTTATTAATTAAAATGTCAAAAATTATATACTCTAAACAACTTTTGTTTTAAAAATAAAAAACTAAGAAAATGTTTTGATTTAAAACATATAATATCGCATTTTTCAAGAAATTTGCCATTGATTTATTTTGTTTCTTAAATTAATTCATTTTATTTAACTGGTACCTCCTGACGAACAATGTTTCTGTTTCCATTTTTATCAGTTTTAAAGCAATAATCAGGTCTGGCGGGATCAGGGGGCTTTCTAAATTATTTTAATCATATGCATACACTTGTATCATGAACAGAAAAAGAAGACTTTTATTCTCCCAAAATATGCCACTTTCAAAGTTAACCTCCTTTTAAAGTTGAAATGCTAAATTATGCTGCGTAAATCCGCACTTAGGCCGGATAATTATGCTGCGTAAATCCGCACTTATGGTCGGTTAATTATGCTGCGTAAATCCGCACTTATGGTCGGTTAATTATGCTGCTTAAATCCGCAGTTCTGGCCGGTTAGTTATGATGCGTAAATTCGCACTTATGGCCAATTAATTATGCTGCGTAAATCCGCACTTAGGCCGGATAACTATGCTGCGTAAATCCGCACTTATGGCCGGTTAATTTTGCTGAGTAAATCCGCAACTCCTCCTTTACCTGTATTTTGCTTCATCTCCTCTAGCTGCCCACGCAAATCCAGACATCACACATTGACCAAATATCTGCAGAGTCTCTAAAATATTTAGAATCAGATCCAGATTGTTAGATTTTTTGTTTTTAAAGAGGTTCCACTAAAAGCTCCAACAGTTTATAGTAAATTAACTGAGCACTTGCAACAAGTTTTAATTTTCTAATCCCAACTTTGATTTAAAAAATTTTTAAGCTTTGAATAATGTATACAGCTGAACAATATTCAGGGGTGTATGTTTTTATAAAAAAACTATTAATTTACCCCCTCCCTACCTTTGAATATTTTGTTTACCCCATTAAGTTAGTAATAAGTGCCCGTAGCAAAAACATTTTGAAGCGGGTTTAAGGAGAAAATAAATAATTTTTTGGGTTAAAAGTATCAAAAAACATTAAAATACTAGCATTTTGATGTTTTAAATTCATTTTGTTCCCTCAGAGCATCTTTAATCATTTACCCCCCCCCCCCCAGGGGGAATCATTTCTCAAAACTAGATACATCCCTGACCGTAAGGTAATTATTTTCTGTGCTAAAGGAATTGAGTCTTTCCCATAAACACAAAAATTCTAATCCCTTTATATCTGCAACCTGATGGTGTAAACCTTTCATATTAAATTTAGAGGTTTTGATTTAACAGAATTCAGTTTGAAATATTGGGTAGCAAAGATAAAGCGATTAGAAAATCAAGCCTTGTTGCAAAGACTCAATTTATTTTCTTTATTTTCTGTATTAAGATCTCGACAAATTTAAATGGTTTTACAATTGGAAAAGTTACCGTTCTTGCAGACACAGAATCCTCGTTGACATTCAGCACTGGAGGGACATCCATCCTCACACAGGTTTTTACTTCCCCATCTAAAAATCAAGGTTAATGGATATTTTCGAAAATAAAATCAAGAATTATCAAAAACGAATTCTTACACCTTATTATTACTAATGGCATCGTTTTAAGGTCCATTTTGTGGTCTGTTTTAAGGTCTGTTTTGAGGTCCGTTTTGAGGTTCATTTTGAGGTCCCTGTTGAGGTCCGTTTTAAGGTCCACTTTTATGTCTGTTTTGAGATCTCTTTTAATGTTCAATTTGAGGTCCGTTTTGAGGTCCTTTTTAAGGTCCGTTTTCAATTTTTAACATTTTTAAAGATATTTCATCTATTTAAAAATTTCATGCTTGATAAGTTTGCTTAACATTTTTACTCTGACTAGAGATATCCACCAAAAACGATTTGTTCAAAGGATTGGTAAAATCATTTTTATATAATCGGTTTGGTAAATATGTTTAGTTAGAGAAAAAATGTCATAAAAGCTCCCTTATATCAAATTAAAATTGGATTTTGCATGGCATCAAATATTTCAGATCCTTTTAGAGCACATTTAAAGCCAAAATACCATGAATGTGTAAAAAGCGAAATCAAAACAATGCCCTTCCCTGCTCACTCTTAGTTTAAAGGTAACATTTCTTAATTCGATATATTGTTAACCCAGCCATGTGTATAAAGTATCATATAAGTTCATTTCTCCCAGTTGATGACTAACAAATGCAATCCAGGAATAAAGCCAAACAATCCAGATTCAGTCATCTGGGTATATGAAGTCGGAGAAAGGAGTGAAAGGGCATTATCTAGCTGGCAAAGAAAGCAGTAGTCGGCCGTCTTATCCCCGGGATCCCCCAAGACTTGGCAGTTAGCACAACATATCTGATTAGAAGAGTCCCAGGCGAATGTTATGTGTATTTAGATCAACTTTAGTTGGTCCAACACTAATTCTTTGAATGGTTATAATGTAAATATATAGTGTGAGTGCAACCATGCTTCGTTATTCCACTCAATCTTGGCTTTTTACAACTGAACTCTTTACAAGTCTATAATATAGCAGTATTCATATATGCTGTAGTTTTGATGTATTTGGCTTGGATTGACACTTCAAAAAGGTTTGCAGTTGGGAACTAATTAAAAAAAAATATAAAATATAAATGAAACTATTAGAAATCCATTTCATTGAAAGCCTAAATCTCGTTAGATTTTTTAACACTCCCTTTAAGGAAAAATTTAGAAAAGATTACTTGGCTTCATATCTTCTATCCGCTTCCGCTTCTTGTCCACTCAACTTCCTGAATAAAAATGTTTAAATTCTAAGTGTGATGTTTAAATATGACAAGTGACATGTAAACTGAGAATAAGTTCAAAATTATCTTTTTATGAAACAGTCATGTGTTGTCTTGGCTGGGATCAGGGACATATTCAGGAATTTGTCCAGGGGGCTTAAACTGGTTCAGGGTGGGGCTCTTCCCCCATAGTCCCCCCCTGAATACACTTCTGGGTGGGATTTAAACTTTTAGTAAAAATCACAAGGTTAAGGCAGTTCAATATATAAATTTATTCAATTCAAGTTTTTAAAAAATAAGTGATTTCTTTTATTAAAATCCGCAAAATATAAAATATCGAAATTGCTTTGTCGGTATAAAATGTTACATATTTGCCTTGGAAACTTTTTATACCCAACATCATGAAAATGTGAGTAAAAATGTGGAATAAAACTCTCTCAAATTTAATAAAGTTTGCAATATGTTTTTTGCAAAATTTGTTTAATCTGCTTTAGCTTTCCAAATGTTAAAATTCAACAACCAAAGGCGGATCTGAACTGATACTTAGTTTGTCATAAGAAATATGTTTTTAGTTCAGTATGCCTTCAAATTCAGTCTGTAAGTATTATGCCTAATTAAATAGCTACAAATTGAAACTTTTGTAAAGCTTCAATTTAGTATAAGTACTTTTTATTATGCTGATCGATTTTTTGAATGAATTTTTTAACAATACCATAAACCAAGCATTATTTTTGTAGCCCTAGACAAGAATTGTTAAAGCTTTAATCCACCACATTTCTCTATAAATGGGTATTTTTGCGTCAAATTTAAATTTGAAGAACTTTAGAATACATAAACATTCTACTAATTTTACCTGTAGTTTTTGTAGTAACCGTTAATCTTGTGAACTTCACTGAGGCCATCTGCATAAAATATCTAGTATCTGAGCCTCCAATATAAGCAGGCCCGTGTCCGAATCCAAAAGGTTTTGGTTTTGGTTGAACCTCCTAAAAACATTATAAATATATTTGTTCTTCAGATTGTTTCAAAAAGTTATTTTTAAGCATTTTCATCACAAATAGACAAAAATAAATATTTTTATATAATTCTCTCAAGCAACTAATAGTATCCTGTTTGATAAATGATTAATTATAATAGGCATTTTTCTTTTACAAGCAAACTGTTCATATGTACGGATGAGTAAAAATATCAACTGAGTCGAAAAATATCTCACTGAAGTAGACATAAGGAGAATTTATGCGACATTACTGACACGACTTTGTGACCTCGTATATTTTCATTATATAAAAAGTATAAGGTCGGCAAAGGAATTGATTTTTTGTCTTAATCTCAAATCTTCCAATCCTTATATCTTTGAAACCTGAGCCCGCGATTTAAAAATTTCGACTCGTAATTCCTTAAACCCGACTTTAAGGCACAATCTTTGACCCAACTCTGATGACAGCCTGTGTCACGTGATTGACAGCTGCAATTCTTCGGCTCGACTTAAGGAGTTAGGCCCAATAAAAATAAAACCAACCTTGGTTGGTTTTAAAGAGAATTAAGCTCAATGTCGAGAATTGTTCTCATAAAAACCCGGAATGCGCCAATTCCTACCATGAAAATTCGCCAAATAGAATATGAAACCGGTTTTTTAAACTCAACTCTGTGGAAATAACATGTAGCTTGAATCCGAAAGCTCAAATCGTAAATAAGGCCCAACAAAAGCTTAGACCAGAGCCGTATTTTCCCGAATTTTTTAAATCGCGGGCTCAGAAGATGTAAACCTTTGATATTTTAAACCTAGATTATTTTATCTATGAGAATTCAAAGTTTAAAATATCTGAGGTCTACGACATTGGGATTCAAAGAAATAGGGATTAGAAAATTACATAATAACAAAATACATTTTTGTTCTTCTCAACAGATCGTCAATAAGAGGACTTATGATTAAAAACATAAATTATTTCAATCTTACGTTCAGTTTACTTTAGTTTGACGTGGTACAGTTTGACGTGGTACAGTTTTCAAATAATTTCGTATTATTTCTTTATAACTCACCTCAGCAAGGATGGATCCTAGTGCCAGAGGGCCGCAGAAAAGAAAAACAAAAATCATGTTTATCTCATTGCATCTGAAAATGATCAGTACAATCTATTTTACTTTTAATTCAAGTATACACCATTTATACTGTTGGAATAACATTTTGTTCGTAACTTCGAAAATAATGTTCGTGACTTCGAAATGTTTTCATCTAAAGTTCGATATATTGTTAGTCATCAGAAAATGTAATATTTATATTTGCAGATGTGAAAAATGATATTGTAACGTATTGAACGTAGGGCAGGGTTAAACCTATTTTGGTTTTTTTTATGCGTTTTTATTTCAAGAATTATTCTAATTCTTAATCAAATTTTCAAGGTCAATCTATAGAAAATTTAAATTTCGCAATAGATACCCGATGGAAATAATAATATATTAAAGTGGGCATAGGAAAGGGAGGACAAAAAGAATGAAGATACATGATAATAAAATGGAATTTTAAAGGCCCTGTATGCATAGTAATATACTGGGTAGCCCACAAAGGATGAGACCTATACTGTCCAGAATTTAAACTGTCTGTTTCCTTGTATTTATATGATTCCCTGCAACTACAGGGGGAAACCAAATATCTGTGTATAGAGAAGGACGACATTAAAATAATAATGAAGTGTATTTGTTGTTTTTATGAAGAAAATTAGTCTAAAAGTCGTCTTCATATTGATAGCTTTTCAATAAACAAATTGTTTCGCGGTCGACCTTCAAAATCACGATTTGTGTAAAAAACTATACAAATTGAAGATGGCAGCGCCATAAAATGTGATTAATAAAAAATTAAAATTTAAACTGTATTTTTATTATGATGAGTGCAAATTTTCGCCACAAACTATTCACTTTCACGGGCATTGAAGCACTTTCGAGGCTATAGTCTCCTCCCCCCCCCCCTCCCCTGCACTCAGCCTTGTTGTTTGTCGGTAAACCAAAAAGTGTATAATATTTATTTTTCAAATCGAATAAAAACGTATAAAAGAATATTTCTAAAATATAAGTTTTGACTAAATACTATGATAAACCAGTTTGCACTGCCAGCTGCCTGGTCTGGGATTAGGGATGGGTGAAGGAAAGCTTGCAGAAACGGAAACAGGGTTGCCATGTTTCGCACACAGGATATTTTAGCACAGCAGCACAAGGAAAAATGAGTCGAAAATTCAGTTCTGTATTGGATATTAAACTAAACATAAAAATACAAGAATTGAAATTGTTTTATGTTTGATTGGAACAGATGTTAATTATATTTTTCTTTTTTATGAATAATAAATTTATATTTTACGAGAGAAATTATATAAAAAGATAATTTTTTCCAACAAGCCTAGCCTTTATCTGTTTGTTTATTTGAGATGGATTTATCAATGAAAAAATGTTATGATTTGGAAAATTGTTCATCATTGAAAATTGAAAAAATCCCAATTTCATACTTTTTATCAAGGGTTGGTGAACCTGCTCAGAAAGCACACTGCACAGGCTTTCGTTCCCAGCGTATTTCCTCTACACGGACAGGCCCGCCTGGTCGGGCCGGCTCGGTGTGCAGAATTTTGTCTGGGATTCTCTGGCCTGGCTGGACTGCATGGATTCGGTGGGTTGGCAAGGATTGGCGGGTTTCAGATCTGCACGCAAATTTTACACAAGGCTGGAAAAGGCGGCGTCATGAAATCGATACCCCCCGGGCTTTAACTTTTCTTTATCTATTAATAAGTTGAAAGATTGAACTCTTGAGAATGAGATAGGATTAAATATTTGAGAGAAAAAAAATATTTTTAGAAAATAAAAAAGGGTACAAATAAAAAAGTGTAATGGCTGCAATTGTTCAATTCATTATTTTAATTTAAATATATTTAGAGATTTAATAATCGAAACAATAATTTCTAACATACCGAAAAAATAATTAATATTTTAACAATTAAATGCAGTTTACACTTTTATTTAATAACTAATACTGTCGGCTTACAATTAATTTTTTCAAGTAGTTAAAGAAATTATAATTATACTAGCTTGGGAACCCAGCGTTGCACAGGGTAGTCATGGTTAGTCCCGCCGTTTACCCGCACTTGGTCGCTTTTACCGGGAAACTAGAATCTCGCTATAAAAGTTCAACCACTCAACTTAGAATCTTAGAACCAGCCTAAGAACATTTCCGTGGATATCCAGACTCAAGAGTTCAACAATAAAAATTTCAGGAAAATCAGTTCAGGATTTTCTCAGTTATGATTGGACAAACTAACAGACAGACAGACACCCAAACAGAGATTGCAACTTTATGGGTGTTAAAAAAACCAAACACTCAACACTTTTTTCTCTCACAGGCTCAATTATTATCCAATGATAATGAAATTGATATCACAATGTCTATAGGATGTTAGGAATACATGGTCAAAAAATTATCGGATTTGATCAACACTGCACTGAATAAATGCTCTTTATCTCTTGGGGATGAAACTGATCAGCCCACCTGCAGTAATAAACATTAACAAAGTTGAATGAGGTCCAGAATTTGCTTAATAATGACAACATCTCTTTAAAAGTGCTCAATAAAAGCCTAAAACTCTTTGAAGCTTTGTTAGTTAACAGATTACAAGTTTAGGTTGGAGCTATTATAACCAAACACCAATTTGGAGGACACTGTAACCCACCATTTCCAGGTAAATACAGAACCAGTTCCTTACCTTCTCCTACAACAAGGAGAACAGCTGCCGGGGCCTGGGACCCATACTAATATATGAGCTGATGGAACCAAAAAGAAATATATCTAACTATCCTAAAGCTTTTCCTTGTGTAAATCAACTCTAACTTGGTCCATGAGGGCTCAGCTTTCTGGCAGATGAAACTTGTAAACAGCCACCACAACCAGTCTCTTATGCTGTCAGCAATAGATTAAATTAAAGTTTGAAAATAACCACGAAGTTAAATAATGTTTGACCTATAATTGAGAATATTTGGGCCATGGCAAAAAAAGAAGGTTGCAAGGATGAAATTGGAAATCCCAGCCGGGTAGGCTGCTCAAATCCTTTCCCCAGAGATAAAAAGCATTCATTTAATAGAGCAGGGTTGATAAAATCCGGTAATTTATTAACCACGAAGTTCTAGATATACTGTGATATAAATTTTATTATATTCGGATAATAACAGTGTACAATGTTTTTTTTAACGCCCATAAATCATGCACTGTCCACTAAACGCTACTATTCTTTGGTCAGTGTACGGCAAATTACTGCAGTACACACCGAGAGCTTAGTTAAGGGTGAAATAACTATATAATGTATAAGCTCTTATATATTATTATACAGGGTGAGTCAAAAAAAGTTTATATAACTAATTTTTTCATGAAATTTTCATTTTAGGTTTTTTGTATTTTTGCAATATTTTGGAATATTTTCTTTTTTTGCTTGAAACTCATTTGGTACCACAAAAAAATCCGCGAACCCTTTTTCCCATCAAAATTGTAAGTGAAAAACAAAAATGCCATAAAAGATAATTGCTATCCAATCCTAAATTTTCATTGAAAGATATATTCATAAGAATCCCCAACATTTTTATGAAATAAATTCAATTTATTAAGTTTAGTTTAACAAAAATATAACACAGCGAGCAGTTGAACATAAATTAAAATGTCATCCTATCTTTTGGTGATATTTCACCGCTCTAATTCTTAGATTAATTTATTGATAGCAATTGCTGAGACCAAATAGATTCTAGTACAATAGATGGCAACGTAGAATTTGTACACTCTAAGTACAGCTGTATTCTGACGTCACAAGTGTCAATTCAGTTTTTGTGTCCGACAAAATTATTAATGATAGTGATAGTTTTAGAATAAAGCGCTTATCTTACAGTAAAATAAGTGCAACTAAATGTATTTGTTATTTTCTGTTTTTACACTTTTTCATTTAATTTTGAAAAACTTGTCAACTAATGTCAGAAAATATCACTTTTCTTGTTATATATGACTCTTATGACGTCGTGTATAATTGGTTCATTTCTCTGTTCCCACCGATTGTACTTGAACTAAATTGCGAATTTTCCTGATACAATATTGCTACTTTTCTCCATTCCATTAGTTTGATTTTTACGAAATTTTAGGATCAGATAGAAATTATACGTTAACACCTTTTTTCTTCACTTTTGAGAAGAAAAAAGGTTCGCGGATATTATTTGTGGAACCATTTGAGCATTAGAAAACTTAAATCAATATTCCTAGATATTGCAAAAAACATGCACAAAAATGTCATTAAAAAAATAGTTTTAAGACTTTTTCAATTACACTTTTTTAATAACCCTGACATATTTTCACAAGTTTATTTATTCATATGTTACTCGTTTAACATACTAAGAATGACTAGTGTAAAATCCGAGATTGAACAAGTTTGCGAAATATCAGTGAAACTGTTTGCACATTTATGCAAACTCAATTATAATTTTAAAATGTAGGACAAAATCATATTTTCTTATAACTAAAAGTCAGGCTTCTACAATATATATATTTACATCAGTCAAATTCCGCAACAATTGTCTAACAACATTTTATTTTATTTATAAACACAATGTTTTATGATCTAATTTGATTTGAGGATTTATCACAGATGTTTTCGGATTTCTACAAGATAAATATGAATACAATAGAAGCAAACATGGTTTAGAAAACTTATATTTACATAGATATTAATAGTAGGAGTGCCGTTACCCCCATGACCCGACAGCAATTATACTTTTCAAGAAAATAGGAATTTGCCAAATATTTGGGTATTTGGAAATTTCCCAAATATCTAGACATTTTAGAAATTTCCTAAAACTGAGAAATAGATTATCCCCAGATTCTCTACGAAATTTGGGATTTCTCAAATTCCCAGGCATTTGGGGAATTCTTGAAATGGTATATTTTTCCAAATGCCTGTCAATGTGTGAAATTCCCCAGATATCCAGGTATTTGGGGAGTTTCCCAGATTCACAGGAATTTGGGGAATTCTCGAAATGGTATATTTTTAAGATTTTGGAAATTTCTCAAATGACTGGATATCTGGGAAATTCCCCAAATGTCTGGGTATTTGGGAAATTTCCCAAATAGCTAAGCATTTGAAAAGTTTCCTATTATTGACAAAGAAACTACTCTAAGATTTCTTAATGTTTCTGTTGCTGTTCAATTTGGTTAGTCCTTAATTCACTTTATAATTAAATTGTGTTGTAGCCCTGTGATTCAAACCGTTTGTGAATCTCTGCCTGCAGGTCGCCACCTTGCTAGTCCTCATTGTGTATTACTGACCCTTCCGTCCCCATAGTGTTGTCAATTCAATTGTTTTAGAGTTTATTTAGATACAGGGGGTTCTCCGAGCTGAAGGTGAAATTATACATTATATGATGTTATCGTAAAAATTGTTATACTAATATAATGTTTCTTCAGAAATATATAATTTGAATTGAATTGAAAAAATTCCCCGGATTCCCAGGTATTGGTAAATTCCCCAGATTCAGTATGTATTTGGAAATTTTCCAGATTCCCAGGCATTTGGGGAATTCCCAAAATTTCACAAATTCCTGTAGGAATTTTAGGGTGGTATATTTTTAAGATTTTGGAAATTTCTCAAGTGACTGGATATCTGGGAAATTTCCCAAATGTTTGGGTATTTCAGAAATTTCCTTTAATTGAAAATCACCCTGAGTTCCGAGATCCACTATGTCTGCACGTGAAATAGGATAAGGTTGGATTTTAGTAGGTAGAAGGATGAGGATGGGGGTGTAAGGGTAACAGGAATGTGATATACTTAGGGTTGTTAATCGTTTTTGTAAACGATCGTTAAACAATCGTTAAAAATCGTTTTTTGTTTCGTTTTCAAGAACGATCGTTTCGTTTTCGGAAAAAACGATCGTTTTTAAAAACGACCCACTCGTTTTGAACTTTTAGAAAACGAATAACGATCGTTTTTAAAAAACGATCGTTTTTATTAAAACGATTTGCGACCGTTTTTTATACGATTGTTTCTCTTTTATTGAATTTCTCTTTTCGCTAAACTCTTCTCTGTTGTTCTTTTCTCCTTAAAATATCTAATAAACATAAAATTGCATAAATAAAAAATTATTTAATAATAATAAATATTTCTATCTAATTAATTATATTCATTTAACGTTAACAAATAGGAGTTCTTTAAATACATGTAACAAATTACTGTACGTGGGCATAAATCCAGGATTATATGTACGTGCATACAGTTTACAACTACAATATCTACATTGATTCCGACCTGCCAAATATATAGATATTCATGTTTCTCTTTGGTCCAACGATAAATATTTAAAGATAAGAATTTATGAATGGAGAAAGGTTTTTTTTTACTTTATTTTCCATCTCCATTTTAATTCAACTTAATCTACTTTATCCTTTGCAGTTAATATAAGAAGAGGAAATTAAGAGTTTATGATAAAATCTAAACCAAACTTATATTTCGATTTGTGAGGTTTTAAACAATTGGTTTTATTGTTTTAAAAATCCACCATTTGACGAAATTTTCTATCCCCTACTTTTATCTAATCTAAATATACATTTTGGTTCCATAAAATATCTCTGATGAAATTTTGAACTAAAATTTTGAAAAATATTAGGATAAGATAAAATTCTATCCAATAATTGACTTTTTTTAGATGTTTTAGAAATTTTTCATTTTCTAACAATTGATACTTTTAAAAAATATTATACAATTAAAGCAGTTTACAAGACATTGAAGAACATGCATTATTTCTATACTCTAATATAGTAGATAAATTTGTGTTAAAATTCTCTCTGTATATATTTAATGATTTTTACCTTGGCCAGTTACAAATGTGTAATTTTTTACTAAAAAAATCAAAATAAAAGGTTTTTGGTATTCCAAGTATTAGTTTAGAAATAATTGAAAATGACGCCATTTTATGTTTTCACAACACAAGAACAGTTCCTTAATAAAGAGATAATTTCTCCACAGATTAAACAGATCAAACATGTAATATGGTAGTTTAAAACTATCTCTCTTGTGCTATCTGTAACATCTATGGTTCTTAATCTTAATTCTATACAGCGGTACTTAACACCAAGAACAATCTTTTCTTCTCATATTAATTCCAGTTTTGGTAATTTGAAAATTTTTACCAAAACATAGATTGCTTTAGCTTTCTACGACACCTATATTTTAGAAGATTCCCAACATTTTTTTCATTTTTTCAAAATAATTTCGGAACATTATGCTCGACCTTTAAACATCTTGTTCTAAGATTACAAGCATTTCTATCGAAAATAAGATCATATGTTAGGGATGTAAAATTTGTGAGATATTCCTATCATTCTGCTCACAATTTTGAACAAAAATAATCGTAAACATCACAAGCAAAATGTCAGAGCGTAGGTCAGAAATCAGTTTACACTACAGCCAATTCTGATTTGAGCTTGACACCATTATGGTTTATGCTTTTATTTTCCAAATGTATGATTTCTTGACACGAGACTACAACATTAAAATAAAGCCTTTTACAACATAATTCCATGTGCAGCGGCCATTTTCTATTCCGGCTGAAATTTTCCTGATTTTTTAAGGTCAAAGGGTTCTGCTACACTATACCAAAAATAAAAAATCCAAAATTGTGTTATTTTGAGTCAACAACCTGTGAGCAAAAGTAATAAGTTATTTTTATTCCTAGAAAATATTTATTATCTGTTGATAATAAAACTTATGCCGGTCGTTAAACAAGATTAACAAATTAATAGATTTTTCAAGTTGCGCCTTTTTATACAGATAAAGCAGCAGTGTAAGAAGAAAACCTAACATTTTTCGTAATATCTAAATTTTAAACATTTTGTTCGATAATACAAACAAAATGTTAAGGTTTTCTTCCTAAAAGTGAGGGGTTCAGGTAAAGTTTTGGCTTTTTATAATTCTGTCTGATGGGTCTCCTTGAGATCCTCCTTGATATCCTTCTCCAGTTTCTTATACCGAGGTTGGGCAGCTATGGAGGCTATTGATCCTCTGAAATACAAAAAAATTTATTGGCTGACAGGCCGACAATTTAAAGGGACTTTTTAGCAACCCTCTATTTAAAGAGGGCATGTCCGATTCAAATTGTACCTTTATTTTAGAAAAAATATCTTTACTTCCATATCTGAAATTTTCTCTAAGAAAGTGAATAAGAGTCTACCTTTAACGCTGATTTGCAGTGGGCAACATTTTTTAAATTGTCAAAAACTCAAACTTTTTGGCTTTTAGAAAGACTCCATGTAAATCAAAAGCTGTATTTGTTAATGAAAGTGTGTTATACAAAAGTTTATATTTGTAACAGCATTTATATCAAAATGTATAAAAATTTTATTTTATTTTAATATCTACTCGATTTTTTATAGGGCCTTTTTGCCAGCCTAAAAACCTATTTGAAAATATCGTAAGTTCAGTAGAGTGTCTTGGTATTTTCTACTTTCATTGTCTACTTCATGAAAGGTTTTTTTATGAACTTTCAAACTAAAAAGAACTAATCTGTATTAGAATGGATTGGTCAAACTCATTTAAATCCTGGAATTCTAAAATTGGTTTTAATAGTTCCATAGTTCAGTTTATTTTAAATTATATATCATTATTTTTTCTTTCTTCTAGATTACTATGGTTCTAATTATCTTTTATTTAAAATATAAACTGCTTAGCATAATTCTAAATTCTGAAGGCCCTCGTTCTAGAACGGAGCGGTTTTTAAAAAGTCGGAACGTGTCAAGTCCGTTTCATTAGTCGGTAAACTATTAACTAATTAAAGGTTACATCTTCATTTGATTGATTTGATTTGATTGATGAATTTTATGATTAACAGGACTCAAATGGATTTTTTTCTTTTATGTTAAATGGATTATCAAATTTCAATTTGAACTATTTGTTGCATCGTTTATGAGCTTTGTAACACAAAGTGAGATATTTGTCACGTTTTTCATAAAAATTGATCAAAATGAAAACTAAGGTGTTGCAATTACACACTCAATCTATTTTTAAAGACCGAATTGTTCTTAAACAAAACCTTTAAACTCGATATCGACATTTGTTGTGCTAAAAGGTTACATTTAAAAGTTGTCTTGTAATGACTAAAAGCATGCAATTGGAAAGGTTAAGGTGTGTGTAGTTTACTGTTTACCCTCTGTAAAATCTGCTTTTCTGTACCCTTTTAGTTCCATAGTTCTGGAGTACAAAAGTTAATTATTTGGATTTCGGGAAATTTGAGCGTAAAAATTTATAAAATTTAAAACAATGAAAATTTTTTTATTCTACAAAAACAATTTTATGTTAAACTACAACATGTAAAATATAAAATTAGTATGATTTTCTGAGATAAAGCAAAAATAGAAAATTAAACTTAAATCAAAATACAAGTTTTCAACTGATGGTAACACGTTGTAAAAACTAGCTGTTTCTAAGATTTTTGCTATTTTTAAATGTGTGATCAGAAGGTTTTAAACATTTGTTTGGCTTGATATTGAAAAATTAACCATTCAGGTGCAGTATGTAGGTTGATTGTTGAGTTAGGCAATTGCAATTGTAGTGTTAAGGATAAAAAGGTCGACGAGTTTTTTTTTAGAAAATATAGAAAACTTGATATCAGAGTTTTGTGGAAACCCCTCACAGTGGGAAAAATTAGGAATTGGTTAAACACATGTAGGAAGTTACCTGTGCCCGTCTGGGAGATGGTCTGCAACCTCCTTTATAACCTCCTTTACTTCCTGAACACCCTCCTGCATTCAGGGAATTCATTGATTAACTTATATTACAATTTTTTCTTCTTTCTTGCAGACAATATCAAAGAAACTATTAAAGCATTTGAGATATAAATGTTTAATAAAACAGTTTAATTCTTTCTTAAATTTAATATGATCAATGAAATTATTATGATAAAAAAATGTATTTTTTTTAAATATTACCTTTAGCCCTTGCTTAATCTGCTTCAAGCTTTCTCTCCGGTCTATTTTACTGAGAGGGCGGATTCTTCTCTAAAATATTAATCAGTTTTAACAATTTTAAATGTACTTAAGAGATGTAAATGTCAAGTTTTTTTGATTTGTTGCACCTTAACATCGGGTTTATCGTCAAGTCTAATGTCAGACGGATCCACTGACATTTGCTTTCTCATGAGATCAGCTGACGCACGAGCACGTGGTTTATCTAGACTTTCTCCACGTGCCAAACTTTCCTTCCTGCGTCTCAGTGCCACCTGGTGGTGAAAAAAGTTTAGCTTTGTATAATTTGAAGTCATTTATTTTTCTTGACAGGATTTGAGTCTTTGTCAGAAACTCAAATTTTCTAATCCCATTACCTTTGCAACCTTTGTAAACCTTTGATATTTCCAACTTAGATTAATTACGTGATGTAACAGAGTTTACAGTTTAAAATATATCAGGCCTACGAAATTTTGTCGCAAAGATTTAGAGATTTGAAAATCAAAATTTGAGCAAAGACTCAATATCTTGACTATTTAGTTAATTGAAAGGTACTATTGTCATTTAAAAGTGTTAATAGACATAGACGTAATTAAGAATAGCATGTGTACAAAAAAACGGAGAAAAGACTTTCTCTGTAGTCATATGTTGTCTTCCCTACACTGTAAACAAGTTTAGAAATCAATATTCAATGGTCGTTAGAGTTTACTTTACTTTACGTACTTACTAAACAATTGTCTTCAGAGGCTACTGTGTAACCAATAATTTATTCTCAACAAAATGAAACTTAAACAGTTTAGGGTTTTTATAACACCAAAACTAATTTTTTAAAAATAAATTACAAACTGTATTTTTTTGTTAAATTATATTTAATATGACTTTCTGTTTGCATTTTTCGGCGATTCACAACAAAAGAACTTTAACGGATAGGGTTCCCAACGAAGAAAATTTTCGGAATTCCGCGCATAAGTTTAGGCGGAATTTCTGGAGAAAGCCTTAACAGTGATTGATCTACAGTTGATTATTTTTTTTGTAAATGTTTTACCTCTTCCTCCGGCACAATAACATGCCCATTAGTATCATCAACAGAGGCATACTTCTTCATTTCATTCCTTGTCATACCGATCATTTCTCCATCATCAGGATCCTTCATCTAGAACAATAAATTGGATAGGTTATACTTGTTTCATGAAAGATTTCTAAAAACTCGGGTCCCTCTATCTTTGCAATCTAATGGTGAAAACCGTTGAAATTTCAAACTTTACAGATCATTTAATCTAACAGAGAATCCATAGACCTACGCAATTAGGTTGCATATATATAAGGATTTGAAAATCAGAGTTTGTTGCAAAGACTCATTTTATTTCTGAAAAGTTCAAGTTGATTTAATTTGTTTAGTAGCTTTCAGAGATCAACCTAAACCCTTCTTGAACTTGCTCTTGATCTGTTAAGCACTATACTCCCCTTCTCCAAAATAAAATTCACTCTAATAAAAATATGCCTTAAGGAAATATTCCATTGACCAGTTAAAAATAATAATGTTTAACCTTCAAACTTTTAAAGTTTAATACTAATAGTTTTCATTTGTTCTCTAGCTGTCAGGCAATTTACTTAATTCTGATTACATTTTGTACTCTTGTTAAATTTTTTTTTTATAGTAAAAGAAATAGAGGTGCTAATTGTTCAAAAAATGCTAAGAAAGGTTGGTACGATTGCTTCGTTTAATGCCTTCAGAGCACGAAAGGTAAAACAAACTTGAAGAGACTGAATTTTAATTTATTTAGATTTTCGTATTTAAGAAAAATAATTTCAAAGACGTCAATACAAATCCTTTAAAATATATTTCTGACCTGAGCCTGATCTTCTGGTATATTTACAACACACTTAAACAGATCCCACTCTTTACGCAGCCGTTTACTCTGTTTAGACAATAATCCTTGAAATATTAATTATATTTATATATATATATATATATTTATATATACAGGGTTTCTCTGAAAAAAGCGTGTTTAGGCTTTTTAGCCTACTAAGTATAGTTCAAATTTACTAAAAAGTGCTTCTAGTGTAAAATGTCCATTAATGGGAGAGTCGTCAATACAACATTTTTCCTAAAATGCCGTTTTAACCTTCAAAAGCGGACCTTATGTTCGAAAATGATAGGTCTCCTTTTCAAAGATTTAAAAAAATTATATTTTAATTTTATTTTTACGTTTATTACGGCAGAATAGAATAAATTGAACGTTTTCAATGATAGAATTTAGGATTTTTTAAAACTAAAAGACGAAAAAATTTAAAATTTTTTTTAATCCTTGGAAAAGGGACCGACTACATTTTGAAAGCATTTTGAAGGCTAAAAACTTTTTTCAGAGACACCTTGTAGATATGCTTGGCTGTTTTTTTAATACAAAATTCTAATATTTATTTTCATGAAACCATTTTTAACTTATTTCCTAATGAAACTTTTAGTTGGATTTTTGACTTATTTTGTTTAGAAGTGTAAAAAGAAATATCTCTTCTGTTTAAAAAAAGTAAAAGAATAGAATTAAACAACTTGTTGCTTTATGCATTTAATTATTTCATTCTTACATTCTGATAGAACAATTTCTATTTAAGCTTTTTTAACAATTCTTTATTCTTTAAAATAAAGAAGTGTTAGAAATCGTCATTTGATATTTAAATTCTTTAACTCTTGATAATCTTTAATTAAATTCTTTCTTGTTCTTTATTTGAAGACTGTGTTTGTTTCGTGATCGATATTCTGGAGTATTGAAAGTTCTCAGTATTGGAAACCTGAGGTGGGAGCCAATTAAAGCAAACGTTTACAAAACTTGAAACTCAATTATTCATTGTACAGTGTCCATTGAAATCGTCTTTTTTTTCTGTCTAGATAAATGAGGCAATTTTTTACACTGCTCTTCAAAAACACAGAAGATGGCAATAAAGATTTCTCGTTTATGCAATACTTTAAAACACTTTAAAATGAATCATAAAGGGAATGTAAGAGTGATTTCAAGTAATCCTTAATGCAAAGATTTACAGCTGTATCCTTGAAACCTGTTTCTAAGAATAATGTGGATGATATTGTTGTTTTCTGTAGGGGTAGGTTTTTAAGTGTAATCCTAAATTTTTCCTGCAGAACAAATGTGCAAGTCACTTTTGTATAAAGACGACCATTGAAAATTATTAGAAAATTCTAAACATTGAAATCTAATTTATACTTGATCAGACAAAGCTTTAATCTTTGAATAGAGGGTTTTTTTAAAAATACGCTTATATTTGTAAGATTCGAGGATTTTGTTTAAATTTCCTTGAAGAGCCAGGTCATGAGCAGGGATACAGAGATCAGGGAGATCATTGACAGCATCATTGCAACAGTTCTAAACACAAACAATATCAGTAAATAGTGACTCACGGTGGGGTATTTTAGGGGGATTGATTTTGTGTTTTATGGTGAGAATTGACAAATTAAACATATTCTGATATGTTTTTTTTTTTAATTTTTAAGCACTATAGAATTGTAGCTTGCATTGATTTATAATGATTTTAATTTATAAATACTTTTCCCTTTTATATATTTATCCTTGAATGGATCCTGTAAACCCGCAATATATTTAGAATGTCGTCTTCGTTAAAGTGAACTATTTCAAGGGGAAAAAACGCATACTTTAAAGCTTGTTTACACATTACATTGGATTCAGAATAATCTAGATAGATAAATATATATATACAGATGTGGAGGAAGAATTGGTTTGGATTCTGATTTGTGTTTGAAATACCCATTTTAAGAGTTTTCACGGGATTTACCAGTTTTCCGTAGGATTTCATAACTCAAGACGACACAACCGAGCCGTATTTGAGTTTACAATTAGAGGTTTATGGTGTTAACTCCACTCCCCCTGTTCCCCCATTTTTTGATTGAGGGGCAGTAACGTGTTCTGTTCTTCTAAGACTTTTAAAAGTTACCACAAAATGAGAGTTCAGAAAATAAAATTTAACATTTAAAAATTTTATTTTTATTACAATTTTCAAAATTGTTATTCTAAGAAAAGAAAAAGATAAAATCTAACCAAAAAACGATTTTTAAAAATTTTGACGTACATCTTCTCTAAAGACTAATATTTGGCAAAGTGTGATAAAATAAATGTTTAAAATAAACAAAATTGAAATTTGCAAAATCAGTAAGATTTTTGTGCAGGAACCTTTAAAAAGGGCAAACACTTTTGTAATAAAAAACGAACCAAGATATTAACATTTAAACTTTTAAATTAAAAATCAATTTAAAAAATTTCAAATTTACCTGAAAGGGAAAAGCTGGGTACCGAAGGGTCTTCTTCCAGTCAGAGCAGCATCCGCAATCTATAATATTTTAAATTTGATCATTTTAGTTTTAATAAATCTTTACTTTTCTAAGGTACTATTTTCTGTCATAGTTTTCAAAATACGCAGAAATGAGCACATTTAATAGTTATTGGCAAGTTCTTAATTATTGGTTTGAAAATGTCTTAGATTCATTTTGGTTACTTTGTTTATTATCCGCATGAACATTATACATCTTTATAGCTTTGCAGTTCTTAAAAACAGGATTTTTTGCTTAAAGACCATGTTATGCCTCATACTGAGATTTTTTATCTTTTCTTTAATGACATATGATTCTTTCATTAAACCCCTCAAAATGATTCCTCCCTTTCAGAAACAAAAACTTTCTTTTCAAGAACGTGTGAACCCGGCCTTCTTAAATTATTTGATCTTAAAGAATTCAAATTTTGACATTTCTAATTCGCCGATGTTGGGTTGCCAAGATATAGGGATTAGAAAATCAGAGTTTTTGGCAGAGGCTCATGTCCTTTGACGAAATTTTGTAAACATTTAACCATGGAGTTCTTCAAAACTGAACACTAATTTTAAATTTAAAAAACTGTATAAAAATCATAACTGGGTTTGCAAGGTTAAATCAAGCAACACTTCAAAGTAAGTTTAGTCTCACTAGTTGATGAAAAATAGTTATAAGTGTTTAATCTCTGAAAGTAAAATTGAGAACTATATTTTACCTCCTCCTCTGATGGAGGCTCGAAACCTGGGAAATGAACGAGTGGAGGCAGTTTTACCAACTTCTCCCCTCCGATCAGACGAATAAACAGTCCTAAAAACGATCATTCATAATTCATCAACCCACTATTTGCCAAAAAATTTTATCGGTAACTCGGTAGAGCTACGAAAAGGTTTTTTTTCAAGAAAACTTTATGTTTCTCACCTTTTTATTTGATTTAATTTTAAGAAAAATAGATTCATAAAACATTCTGTCAGACTTGAGGGCGTTATGAATAATATTTCATGGTGAATATAATGAGAAAATGGAGATTTTAAGCAAACTTGACAAACAAAAAGTTGGAAAATATTGAAATAATCATAATATCAAGCAAAAAGTTGGAAAATATTGAAATAATCATAATATCAAGCAAAAAGTTGGAAAATATTGAAATAATCATAATATCAAGCAAAAAGTTGGAAAATATTGAAATAATCAAGATATCAAGCAAAAAGTTGGAAAATATTGAATAATCATAATATCAAACAAAAAGTTGGAAAATATTGAAATAATCATAATATCAAGCAAAAAGTTGGAAAATATTGAAATAATCATAATATCAAGCAAAAAGTTGGAAAATATTGAAATAATCATAATATCAAACAAAAAGTTTGAAAATATTGAAATAATCATAATATCAAACAAAAAGTTTGAAAATATTGAAATAATCATAATATCAAGCAAAAAGTTGAAAATATTGAAATAATCATAATATCAAACAAAAAACTACCTACTACTGTATATTCCATGTTTCTACAGTGTTACCCTCAAAGGACAAGACTTCAAAGACAACTGCACGGAATTTATAATGCAAGTTTTCTTATATTCCTAATTCATAATTATACCACTATATTTTGAGATCGTCATACTTTAAGAGTTTCTGGTCGTCTTTACAGTCTCATCCTTAGAGGATAACCCTTTGGCTTACCGAGACAGTAGGCAAAGAGTGATCCGTATGTATTACAATACTCTGAGAAGTGAACCGTCATGAGAAGTTGTGGAAACAAGATTACATAAACCAGGTCCGAACACAGAGCCCTTAACACACAATTATTATTTCAAAGATTATTATTTTTGATTACTTAAATTTAAATATGTGATAGATATGCTTTATCATAAAGAATTTATGATCTGTAAATAGTATATGATCTATGCTAAATAAATTTTGTTGTTTTATTTTTCTTACCAAAGTCCATAAATGGTAGGAATAGTTAAAGCCATAACAGTTGCCATACCACCAACTACAAATATTGCCACTCTCATCACCCACATGATTTCTCGTTCACTTGCCTTAATAAACATTTTTCTATATTCTAATGTTTGGTTTGAAGAAAAGAGATCAATTCGAACTATAAACGGTAAGCTGAACTTATTAGTTATGGCCTCTGATGAAGTGTAAAAGGGAAAATATTTTAAAAGGTTCCGTTTTTCAAAATTTTTTGCAAATTCTGCACAAACGTGCTTGTTGTTGAGCAAACTTTATGCGCAAAATCTTTGTGGTCAACTTGCACTCAATTTACGCATCATTTTAGCGCAAGCTCTTTAAGTATTATTTAGTCGGAATGTCTTACATACAGTCTACAGAACAGCAAAATGTACGCAAATTCGCGCAAGGAATTTTAAATTGCTCTGAGAAAATACAGGGTGTCCCGAATCATATTAGATTGTTTAAAGCTTATGATTGATGTAAGGGAATAATAAGAAAATTTAAAACATGAACCAAGTTAAAGAAAAACCTATAAGGCTAATATTAAATACCAGGTTTTTCGACGCATTAATTGCGTATTTTGGCGTTAAAGCTTGGGGATAATCCAAAATCTTTATTTGTTTAATTCTAAAAATTAATGCAAAATAATGTCTTACGCCTTGTCTGAAGATAAGCTTGTAAACATTTCTGGCAAACATTGACGCTGCGGATAGAACAGAGGAATCAGCTGAAGACATTACAGCTGCACTAACAGCTCCAAGTCCAAAGAAAGCAATGATTCTACAAATATAATATTTTTTAAGACTTTACTGTAAGTCAAAGAAAATGTTCAACTTACGGCGGGGTGAGGTATTGAAGAACCATGGGTAATATCATTCTTGTATCCTCTTTAGGTATTGGTAGTATACCATTGTGTAATTGAACATAGTCAGTTTTATTCCAATCAGTAGCCTACAACAAATAAAGGATTAGAAAATTAGACTTTGCGGAGAGTAATCACTAATTAGCTTCTTTCAAAAATGACAAGAAACAAGTTTGTTATTTAACTCCTTTAAAGGAACTTAAAGCAATTTTATACTTCATTTAAATATTTACATCAATGATTCACAACGGTACCTTCGTTCAATATTTTTTACATTTTCTAGCAAGGGAAATAAAATACATTAACTGGAATGTTAGAAAGTTAAAAAATTATCTCTGAAAGAAAGTGTTCCGAGCTAAAAACTATCCTTTATCCTAATCGGTTAATTAATCTGAAGATTAATAAACAGAGGAGAACAAGCATTATTTAATCTAGAGATTAAGAAAAAGAGTGGATCAAGAATTAATACCGATATTCACCATTCAAATAAAGTAAACTGTACTCAATTAATATGTAAATATTTATTAGACCTTTGCTATCCCTCCAATTAGAACAGGAGGAACTGCCATTAACAAGCATCCTAAAAAATGTATTTTGAAATAATAATCATTTTAATAATAATCAATTTTAATATTTATTGATTTACTATTATAATGAAATAATATAATATTAACATGAAATAAATCTTCTTATCTGTAAATGTATTTTAGATCTTTTATTGTCAAAATTAGAAAATTAGTCTTCTTAATTTAATAGTTATATTACATATTAAAGGAATGAAGTCTTTGCCACAAACTCAAACTTTCTAACCTTTGCAACCTAATAGTGAAACCTTTGATATTTCGAATTGATCTAGTAGAATGCATACGACATTGGGTTGCAAAGATATAGAGATTAGAAAATCAGAGCTTGTGGAAAATACTTAATTTTTTTACAAATTTAATGGAAGTTGTTTTTGTTTCTTTTTGTTTGGTTTTCAAGGAAAATTTATTAGTTAAACCAAAATAAAGTTATTTGATGAAAGGATAAATCTAATTTTTTAATTCTCTCTTAAATTCTGCGTTTTTTAATAGTTATTTTATCAAAATATTTCCGATTATTATTTTTACTTTAACTAAATGAGACTTATTCATTTATGTGAAAGCATCTTTGCAACTTTGTAAGTCACATTTCTATTTATCACACATGAATATACAAAAGAAATATCGCAAAATATCCACGGGTGTCCCACGAAACATGACAATTGGTGAAAAGTTTAAAATGTCTTCTTCCATAATTTGATAAGTTGTTGGATACTAAAGACTGTAATATTATAGTTAAATTAATTTCACGGTAAAATGTATATGAGCTAAACATTTATTTACAGAAATAAACTGCAAAAAGTCTTTAAAATCTAATACAGTATGTGGAAGAAGACATTCAAAACTATACACCAACTGTCATGTTTCATGGGACACCCTGTACTGAAATTTTCATGTTTGCATTATTTGTATTTGTGAGTCAATCACCTAAATTTGTTGCTATTAAAATTTTTTATCATTTTTGCAGTTTTCGAAATATTCAAAATTCGTTTATATTAATTGACAAGATTTGACACTCACCCACAGCAGCAATATAGGATAAGAGTTCAGCTTTCCCCGCAGACTTAGAGGACAACACTCGTTGGAAGTATACCTGGGGCACATCATTTTAAATGTTGCAAGATATAAACCAGTATCTATATCCTACCGGCGCGTCTAGTGTACCCAGTTTGCAGAATAAGGCGGGCTTAACTATACTGGGGGAAACGAAGAGACGAAATTAGAGAACGCATATTTTAAAAAGCCCAAGGCTTAAAAAACCTTTATCACGAAAACTGTGAAGCCAAATAGAGTGAATTGAATGAATTGGATAGGTCGCTTAACCTACAGCGGATTTAAATCCTCATGAATCTTTAACTTTGATCCTGCGGTAGGTTTTATAGTTCAGTGACCTCTGCAATTTAATAAATTCGGTCCCAGATTTGATTGGGCCAAGAATGCCTAAAAAATCAGAAAAATTGGTTTTTTTGCTCCATCATTTTATTTAAAGAATTCCACAGAGCACGATATATTTAAGTTCATATCATATACCGGTCCGAATTTCATAGTTTTACGGATCTCAAAGTGTTTAAAAAAAATGTTAACCTGCCAAGGGATCCCTCCAAAGGTTAAGAGTAGAAAGTAGTCAGCATAGTGGGCATTCCACCAACCTCCTCCAATTTCACCTGGAATTAACAATTTTTTACCGTATTGCTTGTGCGCCTTTATGACCACTAGCTCTACAAGTTTTCATTTTACGCAAAAGTTAAGGGAAGCAAAGGATTTGAAAAGGAATTGAGTCTTTGCCACAAACTCGGATTTTTAAATCCCAATTTCTTTAAAACCAAATATCGTAGACCGTAGATATTTCAAACTATGAATTCTAGTGGATCAAACAATGTAAGTTTGAAATATGAAATGTTTTCATCATCTGGTTGTTGAGATTTAGGTATTACAAAATTGGGATTTGTGGCAAAAACTCAATTCCTTTGTGGCTAAAACTCAATTTCTTTGTCACAAATCTGATTTTTCAATCCCTATAACTTTGCAACCCTAATGTCGTTGACCTTAGATATTTCCTACTATGAACTCTGTTAAATTAAATATTCCAAGTTTCTACAGATTCTAAGATTTATGGATTATTTGAGTTTGTGGCAAAGATTCAACTCCTCTATATGGTTACATACTATACATTAAAAACATTTTTCTTCTCAATAAGAGTTTTGAATAAGATTCATTTCATTCTTACGTTCAATTAACTTTAGTTTGACGTCAAAAAATGTATTGATGTCTCTCTTTCATGTTTTCCTAACGATTTCTGACCTTTGCGAAATAACAAATTCAAAATTGTCAAGAAAAGGTTCTGCTTAAAGAACTGCAAATTAAAAAGACATTAGAAAGTAGCATTTAACACGACTTTAAAAAATTGTGATTATTTTAATGATTCTTTTTTTAATTTCTCTATCACCTTGAACATTAAAGTTTAATGTCAAATAAACTTATACAATAAAAGTATTTAATTACATACATTTATATAATTTCTATGTAAACAGCAATTAAAAGGGTTTACAATATAGCCTATCTTTTTTCTCATAAGCAATCGGAATTTTGTTCTTTTTAACAATAAATGTCATTTCTTGAATTTTATGGAATCCAATTTCGAATCAATTCCCGTTTCCTGATATTTGAAATAATGTATTGAAATTGAATCAGGATTTACTTTTTCAAATAAAAATTTTAAAATACAATTTGATCAAGGTTGCAATCATAGATTTTCTAAATTCATTAATGCATTGCAGAGACCAGTTTTATGCCAATCGGTGAGAACCAGAAACTGTGGAATAGGAATACAACATTCAAGCAATTCTGAAGGTTAAGCAATACAATCGCTGTTTCTCATGTTCATAAAACTATTTGAAGTCATAACTTTAGTCTAAAAGTCGTCGGTTCTATTTCAAAGGTTTTATGGTTCTCATTGTAGTGTTCAGGAAAATTTGGATATGAGACACTTGCCACAAATTCAAATTTTCTAATCCGTACATCTTGAGAACCTGATGTTGTAGACCTAACCGCGATCTAACAAAAACCTGCTAGCAGAAATACGCTTATGAAATATTCATTCTATCATTTTAACTTTGTTTTCGACAAAATGTTGGATTATTCCAACTTTGGACAATAACAAAACCCTTTAAACAAAAGTGAACTTTTCTTGTTAAAATCTAAAACTCACATGCTAAATATGAAATAGTGTACTTTCTCCAATGAAAAGAATTATAAAAGGAAATAAGACAACTTAATTATTTTTTGGATGAAATTTCACTTTTTGCATTTTATAAATTTCCTTTGATTTCACAAGAAATACTTCGCTTAGAATAGTGATTGAGAAATTGCCACACACTCTTATGTTGTATCACTGTATCCTGATGGCGCGCGTATACCTTTCGTAAATTAAATTTAGACTTTTTGGTCCAACAGAGTTTATAGTTTGAAATAACAAAGGTATACAAAAACAGGCGCAGTTCCTTTATATGACAGCATTTTTTTTCTGCACAGATAAGCATTAATATTTCAAATATTGACCTTTTTATCTAGCATAGTTCACTTAGTTTATAGTCTAGCTCGCCATGAAATTTTTTTAGATGAATACAGGGATTTCAATAGCTATTCAAAAAGAAAAAATGCTTAAACATAAAAAATGTATTACCGCATTTAAAGGTTTTAACTTTTAACCATTACTTTTTAAGAATTACCAATCACATATGTATTAAGTTGGCTCATTCTTGGTGCGTTAAAACGATCGTTTTGTTCGTTTTTCCTTTTTTCTCTGCAGATAATGATATAGCAAAGTTTATAAAAAGCAAAACCAATCAGATTAAAAACTTACTTTTTGGAGAAGGGTGAGTGTAATATTGTATATCCGGTTTATATATCCGGTATAAATATCCGGTTTATATATCCGGTATAAATATCCGGTTTATATATCCGGCATAAATATCCGGTTTATATATCCGGTATAAATATCCGGTTTATATATCCGGTATAAATATCCGGTTTATATATCCGGCATAAATATCCGGTTTATATATCCGGTATAAATATCCGGTTTATATATCCGGTATAAATATCCGGTTTATATATCCGGTATAAATATCCGGTTTTTATATCCGGTATAAATATCCGGTTTATATATCCGGTATAAATATCCGGTTTATATATCCGGTATAAATATCCGGTTTATATATAAATATCCGGTTTATATATCCGGTATAAATATCCGGTTTATATATCCGGTACATTTATTAGACTTATAAAAAGTGTATATCTTTAACGTATTATATTTGTTCACTTTATAAGTAACTTACCCATCCATTTCTCAGTCCAGTCTGTTAGTTGGATAGTTGCAACTGCAGGATGTGCCCAAGCAAACGGTATGCAGACCCACTACAAATAGTAGAAGTTCAGATATAAAAAAATAAAGAAATGGTAAATTTTGCTTTTGTAAAGGATGTACAAGTTCGCTTAGAGAATATCAAAACGAATAAAAAAGGAAAATTTTGTTTAAAAATATTGTTGTAGTATTCATAATATTTTCATATTTGATTTGAAAAATAAGAATTTCCAAACATGCAATCTCATGCAGGATAAACCAAAAGAAACAATTATACATGCTTTTACTACTTAAAAAAACAAAGCGTTAAACGGAAAGATTATGCTTAAAAGTGCCACATAAAACTAATTGGACCTAATTACATATGTAAACCATTTGATACTTTTACTAGCTGGGGAACCCAGCTTTGCCTGAGTTTTTTATATAAGAGTCAACCTATTCAACAAAGAACTTTTTACCTAAGATACCAAAGAGTCAGGCGATATTATACATGAGAAACTTTACCATACATAGGACCGGCGCGCCGGAGATTGCTTGCATGATACAATATTGGATAGTACCTTGTAATCTAATTATGAGTTCGTCCAATAAAACATTTTAGAACACTCCCAGTAATGTGTTAAAACATATTAATAAGTAAAAAAATATTTGAAAATGTGCACCACCTTTATCCAAGGAGTCTAATTACGTAAAAGTACTTGCTTATCTGTTCTTATTCAACACCATGTTTAGCACATTCTTTTATCTCAGAAAGGAATTAATTCTAACTGCAGAGAATAGTGTAAACAAATTCAAACAGGCCTCTTTAAAAAAGTGTACATTTTATCGTAAATAAATGGGCGATTAAAGGTAAGTAAGAAAGCAAATATTTGAACTAGTATAACATTATTTAGATGTAGGTATTTTAAGTAGCAAAAAGTAACATGGTGGTCTGGACTAAAATATCTGTTTTCTCTTGAATGTCAACTATAATTGTATGGGATTATATCGTCTGCAGTAAAGAAAAGCAAAACCAAAAAATACAATGTGGATCAATTTTTGTCGTCAATGATTGATTGATTGGTTGATCAAAATGAAGTCAGCTGTTCCACTCACCAGACCAATGAAAATACAAAACAGCTGTATTACATCAGTATAGGCTACTGAGTACAAGCCTCCAATAAGTGTATAGAACACCGCCACGCAAGCTGACGCGACTACACTGGCATCCATAGGAATGTGTAATATGATTGTAAGTGTTGCACCTAAACAGGACACTCATAAGGTGTTAACACGTCTTAGATAAAATATATAAAACTTTGAAGATCGGGCTAACCACATCAAATGCACATCTCTGCACGGAAGAATGCAATTAAAATGTACATTTAGTATTGATTGTTGAGAATATATGTTATGGGTAATAAATATTTTCTTGACCCGCTTGAAGCCACATAAATTAAACTAAAAAAGCAAAACATTTATTAATTTTAATCATGCAGTTGGGTTTATAAAAAAAAACCTTTAGAAAAATATTTAAATGTGATCATACAGCGCCATATTTCCATTTTTAGTTTCAGATTCAAATAAAAATTGAAAATATGTGCATACATGTCCGTTAGATGTTCATTCTTAATACATACAACTACATAAACTATGTTCTACATAATTAATAGTATAAGATCTACATCTACTGGTTGCTGGGCAGTTTCTTACCAGGCCTAAAAATATACAACCTAGTTGTACTACGTCAGTGTATGCTACAGAATACAGACCCCCTGTTCATCAGATAATTGAAAATTTTCTAAGTTTTTCAAAAAAAAACAAATTTTTCTGATCGCTATATCAGTGCAACCTTATGGTGTAAACCTTTAATTATTTCAAGTTTAGATGGAATACATCGTTAAAAATATCAAGGTATAAAACATTTGGATTAGAAAATTTTGATTAGAAAATTAGAGTTTGTGTAAAATACTAAATTCCTTAAGGACATGAACTTAATTTAATCTTATTCTCACCAAAAAAGTGTTGAATTTTGTTACAACTCACAAAAGATAGGTGAGTCTTTGTCGAAATCTCAAATAATTTTCTAATCCGTATATCTTTGCAACCTGATCTAACAAAATTCAAAGTTGAAATATTTAAGGTCTACGACATTGGGTTGCAAAGATATAGGGATTAGAATATGAGTTTTGACAAAGACTCAATTTTCCATTGTTGTATTTAACATAAAAAACCTTACTTATAGGACAAGGAGAATAACTTTTGCATTGTTATTCAGAAAAAAATTGCAAACTTTTTTTTCAATCAATACTAGAGGTTTGAATACTGAATATATTTGGCTAGGCTTAATTGTAATAAATTTTCTCCAAAAAAAAGACATATTTTTGACTTTTCTATTTTTTCAATAGTTCCCTATCCAAGTGTAGAAGACGGCTATCAACGCTGAGGCGATGACGGCTGTATCAATGTTCATTTTTATTATTATTGCAAGGGTGGCGCCTAAAACAGATCACAATAATTACTACAGGTTTTCTACATGATTAGTGATTTTAAACTTCTGAAAAGAAAACCTGTAATATTGAAAACCAAAGCATTTTGTAAAAATAATTAAAGTAAGCTTATGATGAAAAGTTTTCACTGAAAAAAGTTTTTCCAGACAAATGATGCTTAAAGTCATGTTTTAAAAATCCTGCAGGCAAGTTTCGATTTTCATTAGCTCACTTTGGAGTGTGTACAAAATGCTTTGGCTTGAAAACTAAGGGATCTACATATACTATAAGCATGTTCTATGTAACCTAAAAGTTCCTAAAAACATTATTACAAGTAGGCATTGACAAAACTGATGTGTTATGACGCAGATGCGCTCAAAAACAAAATATTATTTTCTCCTAGGATTTTGGTAGAGTCTAAATATCTATCTATCTAGCTGAAAAAAGGAATCAATGAAGTAAACAGGACGATCGTATCTACAGCCTAACCCAGACTACAGGTTGACCCTAAAGCTACAATAGCTCACCAGTCCTATTGCTATACACGCCAATTGTACAACATCAGTGTACGCCACACTGTACAGTCCTCCTACAAGCCTACTGCTCATAACATTTGTCTAGTTTTAACTCTTTTGCAATTCAGCCCCTTTAAAATTTTGTATTAATTTTTTCCTTGATTTAAAAATTGAGTTTTTCAGATTCACCCTTGTGTTACTACTTTTTAAACTTAAATGTTGCTCTGAATTAATTGCAATGCATTTTGACAAACAAAATTGTTTGAATTGAATTTAGTGAAATTCGACCAATTTCTTTTTTTTTTAAAATCTGGACAATGTTTAGAGAAGTACAAGTTCCTATCCAGGTATAGAAAATCGCAATCATTGCTGAGATAACTACAGCAGGATCCAGAGGAACTTTTAGAATGATGGCTAGGGTGGCTCCTGATACAAAACAATTGTTTTCTTTTTTTCTGAACATCAAGAAAGAATACAATTGGCATAAAATAATTATTGTTTCTTTACAAGTATAAATGTATGTGTTTAAATCCTCTAATATAGGAACTAATTGCCGGCCACAAATTGTTATTTTCAAATCACTTCATCTTTGCAATGGCTGATGGTGTAACCCTTGATATTTTAAACTTTGACTTTTAGAGCTACCAGAATTCAAATTTTTAAGTATTAATGGATTACATCAGGTTCAAAGAAAAAAGAAAAATTTGCTTAAAAGTGGCGAAAAATCAGTTCTTTTGTTAACCAGATTGGATCACAAAATTTTTTTAACTCTTTTCTGAGAGTTTAAGATTCTGAAGTCGAATTTAAGATTTAAACTGTTTTACCTAATTTTTGTATTTTGTTTAATATTTAGTCAACCTTCAAAACATTTTTAAAAGTTGAATAAATTTTAAAACAATTTTTTTTAAAGTGTTAAGGGTTAGAATTCAGAATTCATAGTATTTTAAACAAACATATAAAAATAATATTTAAAAAACTACACTTTAAATGTCAGATATGATGAAATCTCAGCAAAAATATATAATTTTTAACATTTTGAATATATATATATATATACATATATATAGATTTATGATTATAAACATATAATACAATGATAACCAGGAAAAAGCGGAATGTTGTAATTTTGAAAATAAGTGTAGACAAATTCATTCCACTTTTTAACTGTTAAAAATTTAATTTCTGAAAGGAATTATAAAAAATCTAAAATTTAATATTTGAAAGGAATTATAAAAAATCTAAAATTCAATATTTGAAAGGAATTCAATCTAAAATTAAATATTAGAAAGGAATTATAAACATCTAAAATTTAATATCTGAAAGGAATTATAAACAACTAGCTGAAGGGCCTGGCGTTGCCCGTGGAAAAAAAAATTTAAATAAAAAAAGTTGAAAAAGAAAATTTCAAATTTTTTTAGCCTATAACACCCCCAGCTACCCATGAGTGTTCAAAAAAATTTCAGCCCATTTGGTCCAGCTGTTTGGCCGGCTATAGGCACCATATATATATATATGAATCTAAAATTTAATATCTGAAAGGAAGTATAAACAATCTAAAACGAACAATTTGATAAATTACCTGAAACTAAATTTATTTTACTTTATAAATAAAGAACACAAATTCGATGACAAAAACCTTAAGGAACTGAGTTCTTGTCACAAGGTCTGATTTTCGCATCTTTAAAACCCGATGTGGTAAACTTTTGATATTTCAAATTATGAATTCTCTAAGATAAACTAGTCTAAGCTTGAAATATCAACGGTTTATACTCGGTTGAAAAGATATAAGGATTATAAATTTGAGTTTGAGGCAAGAACTCAGTTCCTATATCTATTATATTTTTTTTTACTTTTTTTAGGTTGTTAAATGTAGTTGAACAATAACCAGGATTTAAAAATGTTATTATTGGTTCAAAAGGACTGTTGGCGTAATTCCATGTAATCCTCTATGTATGGATGGAAATGCCCAATTCTTGAAACTTTTATCTGCTTCATATTGTGGAAGTTATTGTCATTATTGTAGGATTAAAAGAGTTTAATTCTGATAATTCATAATCGCTTTCCTGTATAGTAGAAATTACGCTTGAAGATCCTACAAACTATTTCTTCACAACTGTAAGAGACATCTAAAAACTTGCCTTTTGGACAAGAAATTCATGAGAAAATTCGCCGGTTAAATTTTTTTTTAAATCAATACTTTCCCTTTGAATATAATTTGAGTCTTACCAAGAGCTGCAAGAATACCAGCAGACCAGAATACTTCACCACACAGAGCAGGTAAAAACAGGAGTCCGCCCATCCTAATAATAATAGTAGATAGACGAAATCAAATGTCGTCTTCCTTTTCGAGAAAATACACAAAGAAGTGAAGCAAAAAAACAGCGAAGTGATTTTACAACTTATATCTTGGAAAATTTAATACAAAATTTTTCATTTTTTATTTAAGATTTCAGAGTTGTACCATGTTTTTAAGTAATATAATAAAACTTGTTAAATAAAACTATAAGGAGCGTCCCATATAATAAAAGATTATTTCCAAGCTTTGACGCCAAAATACGCATGTACTATTCCAAAAACCTAGCATTTGCTGCATGCAAGTTTTCAATCTTTTCTGATTAGTCCTAAAATCGCAATTAATAGCTATATACGAACCAATAGATATAATAGGGTGGTTCCTTGATACACTAGGGTTAATTAGGAAAAATCTGTGAATAATAAATTCGCCAAAATCAGCAAAAAAATTATCTGCTGAATTTGTATTTTACGAAAATTTATTATAATATCAATTTAAGATCTACAAGTTTGGCGCGAAAAGGGCTATAAAATCGGTTGTAAAACTGATTTGCAAGCTTTTTTATATTTAAGAAATATTATTATTTACTTTCTATAAGTCGCAGACATAATGTATGTTAAGTTCACACTGTAGGCTATCGTACACCCTCATTTTAAGGCAATTTGAACATAAATTTAGAGATAAAGAAACAAACTTTTCTGGCCTCGATAATCAGTCAAAGGTACGTTTTTATTTTCATCTTTGAATGAAGGGTGACTTGATATTACGCTTACATTCCCTTTTGAGAGATCAATTTAATAAGATTTGTCTAGAATTCATTGTATAAATGTTTTCTCTTTTCCCTGTCTGGAATAGATTTACATAAAGTAGGAAAGAAATCAATGTCTGGGAAAATGTACAGCTGATGGACCAAACATGTAAATAAAACCTTCTCAAGTCTTACTTTTGTAGAATATTCTTAAAAGTAACAATAGTTCTATATTCAAACCTTAATAAAGAATTAATAAGCAAGTATGAAAAAGTAATCTACATAATTTTACAAAAATCTTTTTTTTCTGAAATGTTTTTTTGTATACAAGAAAACAAGTTTAATTTGTTTAATGAAAAACAATTGACGAATGATGCTACCAAGTTAATTTGGCTCCAGTGATCCAAAAAATTGTATTAGGAGAAAATTTGACACTTTTTTAAGACTGTATACATATGTTCGATCGAACCTTAAGATAATTAGCAATTAGAGTGACTTTGCTCTAATCCTTTAATACATGTACACCAACTTATATCATAAAGACGAAATAGAGGGGCGTTAATTGGCAAAATTGATCATGAAAGGAAATGTTTTAATACATAAACTAAACAGAAACATCAAATAAAGAATACAATTATTTTGTCAGTTACAAAAATGAAGCTTTGTATTACTTTTTAAAAAAGTTTGTAAATACATTTCTGGCACTGATGATAAGAATAAATTGTAGTCGATGTTTTTTCTCTGCTCGTAGCCATTTCTCAGCAAAGATTATGCATTTAGATTTTGAAATATGACGAATAAGCATGGGCCAACAAATAAAACCTCATTAAAATCATTTAAGACAAAGTTTCTCTCTGAAATAGACAAAAAATATTTTGGACTTGGTATGAGATTATCAAAGAGTTGATAACATCCGGATCCATATATATGCGTCCTGTCTGGATTTGTATGCGTCCCCAAGAGCTAATTATACCTAATTATACGGTACCTGGATCCGTATGCGTCCTGAAGAGCTAATTATACCAGGATCAGTATGCTTCCTGCAGAGCTAATTATACCTGGATCCGTATGCGCCCCAAAGAGCTAATTATACCCGGATCTGTATGCGTCCCGAAGAGCTAATTATACCCAATTATACCTGGACCCGTATGCGTCATGAAGAGCTAATTATACCTGGATCCGTATGCGACCTGAAGAGCTAATTATACCTGGATCCGTTTGCGTCCTGAAGAGCTAATTATACCCAATTATAACTAGATCCGTATGCGTCCTGAAGAGCTAATTATACCTGGATCCGTATGCGTCCTGAAGAGCTAATTATACCTAGATCCGTATGCGTCAGCTGAAGAGCTAATTATACCCAATTACACCTGGATCAGTATGTGTCCTGAATAGCTAACTATACCAAGATCCGTATGCTTCCTGCAGAACTAATTATACCTGGGTCCGTATGCGCCCCGAAGAGCTAATTATACCCAATTATACCTGGACCCGTATGCGTCATGAAGAGCTAATTATACCTGGATCCGTATGCGTCCTGAAGAGCTAATTATACCTGGATTAGTATGCTTCCTGCAGAGCTAATTATACCTGGATCTGTATGATTCCCGAAGAGCTAATTATACCCAATTATACCTGGATCCGTATGCTTCCTGCAAAGCTAATTATACATGGATCCGTATGTGCCCCGAAGAGCTAATTATACCCGGATCTGTATGCGTGCCGAAGAGCTAATTATACCCAATTATACCTGGACCCGTATGCGTCATGAAGAGCTAATTATACCTGGATTCGTATGCGTCCTGAAGAGCTAATTATACCCAATTATAACTGGATCCGTATGCGTCCTGAAGAGCTAATTATACCTGGATCCGTATGCGTCCTGAAGAGCTAATTATACCTAGATCCGTATGCGTCAGCTGAAGAGATAATTATACCCAATTACACCTGGATCCGTATGCGTCCTGAAGAGCTATTTATACCAAGATCCATATGATTCCTGCAGAGCTAATTATCCTGGATCAGTATGCGCCCCGAAGACCTAATTATACCCAATTATACCTGGATCTGTATGCGTCCTGAAGAGCTAATTATACCCTATTATAACTGGATCCGTATGCGTCCTGAAAAGCTAAATATACCCGATTTTACCTGGATCCATATGCGTCCTGAAGAGCTAATTTAACCTGGATCTGTATGCGTCCTGAAGAGCTAATTATACCTGGATCCGTATGCGTCCTGAAGAGCTAATTATAGCCGGATCTGTATGCGTCCCGAAGAGCTAATTATGCCCAATTATACCTGGATCCGTATGCGTCTTGAAGAGCTAATTATACCTGGATTTGTATGCGACCTGAAGAGCTAATTATACCTGGATCCGTATGTGTCTCGAAGAGCTAATTATACCCAATTTTACCTGGATCCGTATGCGTCCTCAAGAGCTAATTTTACCTGGATCCGTATGCGTCCTGAAGAGCTAATTATACCTGGATCCGTATGCGTCCTGAAGAGCTAATTATACCTGGATCCGTATGCGTCCTGAAGAGGGTCTAGCATAGTAACATAACCCTTGGTTCTCATCTTGTTTGCGAAAAATATTCCACCTAATTAAATAATAAATAAAATCTGGTATGTATTCTTTAAATATTTGGATATTCATGAGTTAATAGAATATGGTAGAAAGCTTATTTGTGATAAATTTAAACCATGTGAACTTTATTCCTTTTTTGAAAGAGAATACCAAAAGGCGGTTCACCGACAAACGACCCAGAGTCAAACGATATATATGGTAAAACGACATAGGGTCAAACGACATAGGTCAAAAACGTGACAAATGGTCAAAATGGAGAAAAAAATATTGTATGTATTATTTCAGGGATAGGTTAGGTTAGGTTAGGTTCTGGGCCGAGCGCTGTGGCTAGGCCAGGATAGGGGCCCAGCGCTGAGGCTACTAGTTCTAGTGAACATAAAAATAGTTTCAATTGACCAAAAATGTTGCCCGTTTGTTGCACTTTTTGACCCTTTGTCGTTTCACCCTTTGTCGCGTTTTTGACCCTATGTCGGTAAATCCAAAAGGCTAATCAAAATTTTTAATGCTTTCACATTGGAAATTATTCCATTATCATTATTTGAAAGTCGTACTTATAAATTAAATTTCAATGACTACTCCTACATAAATTCACTACTTTTACTACCGTTAAATTATGAAGATTTTCTCAAATGTGTTAACCGGGATGTCAAATTTTTTTTGCCTTTGATTACATAGCCAGGCTGTATGTTCTATTCAATTTACCAATACCTAATATATCTCACAGTATAATCTAATAACGTAGATTGATGATAAAACTTGTAAATGTTTCTTTTTCTACTTCATCTTAGTTAATTTCCTTTTTCCTTTTTTTCTTGCTTACACAATTTTCTTTTTTTTAATTATCATTATTGTCGGATAAAAATATGTAAACAAAGCAATTTACCTAACATAAGACTAAGAGCGTAGCCAAAGGGTGCCTGAAAAAAATGGCTTTAATTTTAATTCTATTCATTTTTATTACAAATCGTTTTACCTGACACCAAACTAAACCGTCGTTGAAGACGATTTCGGCGGTTCCGTTGATGTATCCCCCGCCGACCCAGGTGGCGGTCATCGTAAATATTCCGACAAACATACCGATATTTCGTCCAGCCAGCATTGTCTCCTCCTACGGAATATTCACATTAATGGGACTGTAGGCGTAATTTTCGATGACCCTCCATTTGTAGAGTTGCGTGTTCAATTCACAACAGTACCTTATAAAGTTTTGGCTGATCAATAATATAGGACTTATTAATTTTAAATTTAAATTTATCATTATGACAAGTAATTGAACTAGGTAGAAGGTACGGCTAGTTAAACTTTTTCTTCTTATAGTAAAGTTGATCTAGGAAAATTTCACCCTAAGAATTTCTAAAACTAAATATAAACAAGTTAAGAACCCATTTCAGTCCATTTTAAAATCTGACAAAATTAAAAGATTTGTTTTGAGGAGGTGTACATTCTAAACGCCTTTTTTCTAGAATTCCAATGTCCAGGTAAGCTCTATTTACAGGGATATTGTTCAGGTGCAGTTTCTTTTATATATATAATTAGATTAATCATCCTTATTGTAGTGTGAAGAAAGAAGAAGTTACATCTGCATTCGTACATTTACTTTAAGACTAAACCAATATTCAGAGATCTGGGACTACATTTCATGAATTTAAGCTAGGTTGCTGAACTAACAACCGCCGATTTTATCATGAATAATCGAAACTCGAAATCTCGAAACACTGATTAAAATTTCAAGTTGAAACAGCTTTGCTTGAACTGCGGTTCAAATTCTTTAAATTTGGCCACGGGAAGGATTGAATCGGTGAATCAAATATGAACCAGCGGTAGCCAGTTCAAATTCATTAAATTTGGTCTCTGGAACCGCATTTAATAAATTTAAGCTAGGTGGCTGTCCTACCAACCGCCGATTTTATCCTGAATCACCGATTCAAAGTTGAAGATTCGTGAGGTGTTGTACCCATGATTTAGGAGTTGAACCGGAGGTAGGCAGTTCAGCGAACTCTCCAATTTATAAATTTTGGGTCCAGTTAGTTTAACTGATCTCTCATTGGCCAGATTTTGGAAATTTGGCTAATGAAATATTAACTATATCTTCATAAAGAGGTCGAAATTTATGAAGAAACAAAAGACAGTTGAACTAGCCTAGGCAGAGGTTAAACTTTTACTTGCCCACAAAAATACAGACAGATTTCTATGTAAAATTTGATCTCGGCAACATTATTTCTCGAAATTCATAAATTTCCAGCTCTTTTCATATGCAGGGTTACCCACAAAAGAAGAAACTTCAGAGACGACTATACGACATTTATACTGTCTGTTTCCTTACCTTTTTAAATCTCTACAACTTTAAACTCGCTTCTTTCTTTGCCAACTTATTGAATAAGCGATTTAAAGATAGTTGGGATGTTAATGCGATAAAAAAGCGCTTTTGTTCGCTACTAATCTTACTTCTATCTGTTGCGTCTATAAGGAAAAAATTGATAAAGACGTCTCATACCGAAGAGCGTAGTGTCCATACAAATTGAGGAAATTGGAACATACGACTTAGATCGTAAAAAAATCAAATTAATATCAAACAAATCATTCAGATATTACAACCTATAGTCATCGATTATCTTTCGCTACATTTGTATATATTTGATATTTCATACTAGTTTTGATTTTGTTTTTTTTAAATAATATTTAGCTTACAACTTGTTTTCGAACATTCCTGGAAAATATGAAAATGTCGTCTTCATTACCAAAAATCCTCGAAACAGGAATAAATGTTTTTATAAGTAACTCTCAGATCATAACAATTAAAACATATTATGAAAAATCAACTATATATAAATGTGGCGAAAGATAATCGATGACTGTAGGTTGTAATATCTAAATGTTTTGTTTAAAATTAAATTGATTTTTTTACGGTCTAAGTCGTATGTTGCAATTTTCTCAACTTGTATGGACGCCATGTTATTCGGTATGAGACGTCTTCAACAATTTTCTCCTTATAGAGGCAACAGATAGAAGTAAGATTAGTAGCGAACAAAAGCGCTTTTTTATCGCATTAAGCCTATACCCCCTTTCATTTTTCGCGAACACTCCCTTTAAGTTTAATTTCTGAGCAAGGAAACCCCTATGTTTCTCACGTATGTTTAAACTGTGCCATGTAACAATACTAGTCTAGTATCAGTCATCCAACTATTGGCTATGTCCAAAGTATTGTCATGAAATCCAGGCAGCCACATGAAAATATAGTCATTGCTTTCAAGGAACGGTCATGGTTAATACAGGCACCCCTCTATTTAAAGGAACGTTCATGGTTAACTCTCAATTTAAAGGAAAGGTAATGGTTTATAGAAATACCCTTCTATTTAAAGGAATGCTCATGGTTATTACAAATACCCCTCTATTTTAAGGGAGTGTTCGCGAAAAATGAAAGGGGGTATAGGCTTAATGCGATTAAAAAGCGCTTTTGATCGCTACTAATCTTACTTCTATCTGTTGCGTCTATAAGGAGTCTCATACTGAATAACTTCGCGGCCATAAAAATTCAGAAAATTGCAACATACGGCTTAGACCGTAAAAAATCAATTTAATTACAAACAAATTATTCAGATATTAAAACCTATAGTCATCTATTATCTTTCGCCACATTTGCATATAGTTTATATTTTATAATATTTTTTAATTAATTTGTTTTGAATTTGATTATTTCTCTTGCGGCTTGCGCAACTATCTAAGAATGCCGCGGACCACTCACATTTTTCGAAATCAGTTAAAACGTTTTCTAAAAAATAAAATATTATAAAATATAAACTATATACAAATGTGGCGAAAGATAATCGATAAATATAGGTTGTACTATCTGAATGATTTGTTTGAAATTAAATGGATTTTTTACGGTCTAAGTCATATGTTGCAATTTTCTGAATTTGTATGGCCGCTAAGTTATTCGGTATGAGACGTCTTTAACAAGTTTCTCCTTATAGACGCAACAGATAAAAGTAAGATTAGTAGCGATAAAAAGCGCTTTTTTATCGCATTAAGCCTATACCCACTTTCATTTTTCGCGAACACTCCCTTTAAAGGAACGGTTATGGGTAATATAGGTACCCCTATATTTAAAGGAATGGTATGGTTAATACAAATACCCCTCTATTTAAAGGAACGGTCATGGTTAATACAAGTACACCTCTATTTGAAGGAACTGTCATGGTTAGTACAAATACCCCTCTATTTAATGGAACGGTCATGGTTAATACAAATACCCCTCTATTTAAAGGAACGGTCATGGTTAATACAAAAACTCCTCTATTTAAAGGAACGGTCATGGTTAATACAAATACCCCTCTATTTAAAGGAACTGTCACTGTTAATACAAAAACTCCTCTATTTAAAGGAACAGTCATGGTTAATACAAGTACCTCTCTATTTAAAGGACCGGTCATGGTTAATACAAATACCCCTCTATTTAAAGAAACGGTCATGGTCAATACAAATACCCCTCTATTTAAAGGAACGGTCATGGTTAATACAAATACCTCTCTATGTAAAGGAACGGTCATGGTTAATACAAAAACTCCTCTATTTAAAGGACCGGTCATGGGTAATACAAGTAACCCTCCATTTAAAGAGGGGTCTGCCTTTGAACATTTAATATTACTAAAGAAGTTTAAGATAGAATCGTTTATGTAGGTTTAAAAGTGCATTATTCTGGTAATTTCTCCATCATTGTTAATATTGTTCTGCCGATTTATGTTTTGTCCTGAGTGAACATTCTTTATTGCCAGTATGCATTGAATAACTAGTATGTACGTGTCGTTCAATTTGTATATACTGCCGGACTAGCAGTACATAAAAGGAATTGAGTCTGTGTCACAAACTCTAACTATTTAATGTTATATCTTTCCAACCTGATAATGGAGGCCTAATTGAATTCATGGTTTAAACATATCTAATGCCTACGACCTTGGGTTGCAAAGATATAGAGATTAGACAAGAAGGAGATAATTAATCTTGCTTACCGTCCTTTTTGTATTTGTACGTAAACTTTATTTTACAAATTTACTGTTATATTAGAAGGTCGGCCTGGTACTCTAACAGAACTGGTATTTTCAGTCATATTGGCATTGCTTGTACATATGTCAACCGGGACTTTTTATTTCAAATATTTTAATTCAATCAATTTTGGTCTACAATTCAACAATCTTTAAACTTACGGAGTTGTCTTTATAATTTTTTCATTCAAAACGCAAACGAAAAAAAAAAGTATAAAAGAAGAAAATCAAAAAAACTGATGTTCATTAGATCTAATTGTGATCGAAACAATTGGCTTTCTGGAAAATGTACCGAAATCTGCATGATGCACTACACTAACCTCCTCACTGACCCCCTCTACATTACTCTTCTTCTGAGCAGCCCACATTCCCACTCCCAGGATAACAAAATAGAAGATGATTACAGACAACAGACCCAACAAGTCAATGTCACCAATAAAGTCCATGGTCAGGCCTAAACAGTAAATATCACTATTAATAGTTGACGTGCCTGTCTGTTTCCAAGCTATCAACGTAAAAACGTCTGATCTGAAAATCTACCAAAAAATACTAGAATCCACTTTTCATTTTTGAAATTTTACGATTTGTGAATAAGTTAAATAAATTACTATTAATGTGTTCTCTTACTTTTATAAATAGGTACAAACAAAATTTTGGATGAAAAAAATATTTCTTTAAAAACAAAAAAGCAAAATGCAACTTGAGCTGAACTGAAAATTAAAGCGTGGTTGTTGTGAATAACTGAAGCCATTGTGGGTTAAATCAATATTTATCGTTGATTTCTAATTGCTCTCACTTATTTGAGATATAGTGTAGATATAGTATTAATATAAGTATATTTTAGTATACAGGGTTACCCACAAAGTATGAAACTGTAAAGACGACTGTTAGCTCTTAAAATGTGAGATCTCAAGATTAATTCTGTCTTGGATATAGTGACCCCATTGCTTTTTCAATGATTTAGCAAAGAAACAAACAAGTTTACAGTTGCAGGGAATCGTAGAACTGTATAAATTCTGTACAATCGTTTCTAAAGTATCATTCTTTGTGGGTAACCCTGTATTTATTTTGAAAAAAATATTTGTTTCGTCAAACACTTTGTCCAGGTCTAAATACCAAATCGATAGAACATTCAGAACAAGCATTCTTTTTCTCCCATTCGAAAATCGAAAAATCATGGTATCCAAGTTAAAGTAAAGGTATAAGACATTTTTTTCAAGTTAGCCGTGAGTCATTTTTTAACATACCCCCCCTTCCCACAAACAGACTTTTAAAGTAAATAATAGGGAGCCCCACACCCATCACCAACCCACCCACCACCACTAAGATTGTAAAACGCAGGATATAAAAACAGTTTATAAATTATATGCGGTGAATTTTTATGACCTAAGAAACCAAACAAAGATATAAGTTTTTGTTAATAGACCTTAGCCCAGTTTCAGATATCGATATTAACTTTGAAAAGAAAAATAAACAACTGCAGAGAATGGAATCCCCAGTATCCCATCTTTAATTTTCAAATTTCATATTTTTCTCCATCCGAATTTGTAATAATTTTTTTTCTAACAAAAACCAATCTTATTATTTGCTTCATTATTAAACAACAAGCTATTTTTAATTTCGATATGTTTGGATTTATTTGATAATATGAACAAAATGTGTAGGAGTGTAGAAATTAATCTATAACACACACTACACAGTTTATTTTTAAGATTAGCTTTCTTGTAGCCCCCCCCTCCCCTCCCCTCACCCTCTTCAAATATTGGCCGCCACGAAAATGGGCTTTATATGGGAAGTGTTTTTTGTTCAGTTAGATGGTCATTTCTTTCTCTTCCTCTCTGAAGCTCCCCCCCACCCCCCCCATCCTCTCTTAAACTCTTTTTAAAGCAAAAGTTTGAAAGAGAAAAGTTTGTATTTCCTATTGGTATTTCAACTTTAAAAACATCGCAAAACGTTTCTTGTGAAAAAAAGTTAATGGTTTCCATTAGTTTCTTTAGTTTCCTTATTACTAATCCAAATAATCCCTCCATTACACTTACTAACATTTCAACCAATCAATCTATCCCCCCCCCCTTCTACATCTCAATCATATTTCGCCATTTTTTTAAAAAATATCTTTTTAAAAAGTGCTATTTATATTTAAATGCTTAAAAGATTGCATAGAATTTAAAGTTCCCTTTTATACTTAGGCATGTTTTACTTTCTAAAATGTACTAAGATCAAAACATGTTTCACTTTTCTTTCACGGGACACAAATTCAAACCAGTATGTTCAAAAAACTAAACCGACCATTAACATAAAAATACCTTAATCGTTAACTCTAAACAGGCTGAGGGGGCGTTTGGCGTTCCCCCCCGTAGTATTTTTTGTCCTAACACTCTCATTTTTGACACTATTACCGTGAAATTTTGTGACATTTACTAAATAGTAATTTAAATCCAAAATAGCCCATGACTAAAGATACAAATCTAGAACTATATTTTTGAAAAGCCTTTGAAAAATGCAAGTAGAAACATGTGTCACATTTTGATATTTGTTTAAAACAAAAACCAAAAATATTTTTTTCATTTTTTAGACCCTTTTAGGCATTTTTTTCCACACTCCCTAGCACCCAAACTATTATAGTTATCGGTCTAATTTTTTTTCTTTGAGCTGGCCATAAAAACTTGGGCTATGAACATGCATTGCAACCCTTTACCTATTCCTTTAGGCCCAGGCTACGCATACATCCCCCAGCCTTTATAGAGTTAAACTATTAGATTAAGAACCATCCAACCGATCCACATAGGTTTCTGTTTATGAAACCATCCCCCCCCCACACCTTTCTTCTCACCAAAATATGAATAAGTGTGTTTATCGATTATAAATAATATTTACCTTAGGAAGACGACGATTTGTTAAATGCAAAGTTGCAGTACAGTAAGTACAAGAGTTTATCAGCTGAAGAGTGTACAGTTTAGTAACAGCAGTACAGTAATAGGATATTTCTAAAATATATATATTATTCTATCATATTCCATTGCATTTAACTAGTTGGACTTTAAACTAGGTTTTGGTAAAGATTTAATTGATATAATATATTCCAAAAAAAGTATAGCATGTTAATAATTCAACAAGTGAATAAAATATCATAACAAATTGGTAAAAATATTTAGCAGGTTATAAGAAATATTTAACAAGTTATGTATAGGAAATGTTTAACAATTTCTTAGGTTACAATATTCTGACCGGGTATTTAGTTATTAAGAATATTTAACATGCTTTCACAAAAACTCAAATTTTCGGATCCCTATATCTTTGCAACCTGGTTGCGTAAACCTTAGTTATTTCAAACTTAGATTATTTTATCTACCTGGTCAAATTGGAAGATATGGTTGGTCACTGGTTAGAAGGAAATTAGTACGTTTCTGAAAAAAAAGCATTTTAGATTTATCCGTTTATCCCCCCAAAAAAGGTTTTGGCAAGAAAAAAGTCGAAATTTATAATTTCTGAAAATGCACCAATTTTAAACAGAGAAAAAATCAGTGAAAATTTGAGAACGATTAAAAATGGCGACTTCTAGACTTCAACGCTAAAACTGTTGGAAGAAAAAGGTGAGCTTCGCCCTAAAAGCAGCTCTAGTATGGTTTATTGTATATTTTTCTCAATCAATTTAAATTTCACAGTAACTGTAAAATTAACCTGTGAAGTGAAAATGGGTTTCATATGTTAATTCCACAGTTTGTATGATAACAATAAAGCAAGGTTGTTAACATTTTGAAAATTAATGAATGGGATATTTTAGAACATGTTTCTAGATGTTTAAAAGTTTTCGAGAATCAAAAAAAAATCAACCTTTAAGTTTGTTTACGTTCTTTTTACATTATTTTATTTTTGATATTAGTTTCTTAAATTAAAAATGCTTGACTTTTAATACTATTCGTGTGTTCCCGAAATAACCCTTTAATAACAAGAGCTCTTCTACGTGACGTAAATTCATTCATTTTTCTGCATTCAGCCTTTCACAAAATTCATGCTAAAATGTTACAATGAAAACAGGGTTGAGATGATAATCAATTACAACTTTCTATTGCATGTTAAAATGTCAGAAAGTATTTTTGTCAACCCTATCACGACTTGAGGTGTTTTCCATGTGGTTTTTTCTTCATGAATTAAAAACGGCTCACACCACTATAGAATGCTCAAACTTCACTTTTTTAACTTTATATCTTCAAACAAAATTTGCATCAGAATTTTTATTTTGATGCATGGGAGGGTATAGGTCCGGTTCGGAGGACGGTCAAACGGCCATGGTCGGTGTTTCAAAATATCTAAAATAGTCCATAACTTTTTTATAATAACTAGGCTTTAAGGGGGCTTCGCAACAATATTCTCATTTGTAAACATTTACTCTATAAATACATTGTAAAACAAACAAAAAATTTTTGCGGATTTTATTTAAAATTTGTGGATTTCAAAATTTTCAAAGATTGAATTTTGTTAGAAGCAAATTTTTGAAAATCCGATCATCCATAAACCTTCCTTGGAGTCACGCATAGGTTCCACACAAAATTTCGGCCCTATCGGTTCAGCCGTTTTGACGTTTATTGGACACAAACAAACAGACAGACCAACCACCCACCCAGACAAGCAAATTTTATATATAGAAAAGCCTTTTATTTAATTTTTGTCACTTGTTATTACTAGTTACTTATAACAGTAAAAGTAAAATCTTTTAACATTTTTCCAATGTAATTTTGAACTTTTTTTATAACCTCCCTATCACCCTAACTATTAAAGTTAGAGTTCTAATATTTTAATGACCTTGCCTTGTAAAGACTCCTCTATCTCAACTCTTACGGTAAATTATCCCCATATCTATCAGACAAAAATATCCAATTAAGGAGATGGCGCTAAAACTGGCGTTTTGATTTTGTTTCTCTATTGTTATATATGAATGCAGTAAATTGTAAAGTATATTCCATGAAACCTCCCTGTATCCTCCCCCACTCTCATGACGGCTTTTAGTCCGCTCTACCTCAGCCATAGAGAGAACCAGCCTCCAAGCCTCACCCCCCTCCTTTACCCTGCCTTGCCCCCCCCCCCCCTATAACCCTCTTTTCTCCTAACACTTCAGCAAATTATAGCTCGACTTCATCTATATTTATAAAGTTGTAATCTCTATTTGTCCTGGTGTTTGTTTGTTTGTCCGATCATAACTCATGAACCCCTGGACCGATTTGCCTCAAAGTTCTTAGCTTGGTTTTGAGATTCTAATTTGAGTGGGTCGACTTTTATAGCGAAAAGTTAGTTTCCTAATAAACTTTTAAGTGCGGGTAAACGGCGGAAGTAAGTACCCTGTGCAACGCTGGGTTCCCAAGCTAGTTCAAAAATAAAATCACACTTGTCTTCAAAATTTAGAGAGAAAACCTCCATTTTTTTATTATCGTGTTTGACCTTGGGATATTTCAATCTTGTGACATTCGTACTTCGGAATTTGTGGACTTGGAAAAAGTATTTTTAAGGTATAATAATAGGTGTGAACAGATCTTTGGAAATATGGTATCTTTTATAGGGACTGTAAGTGCAGAAGCCACTCCATACAAAGCAGTAAATGCCCACTTTAAAAGGATACCCTGGAACCCTTTATCTGATCAAGAATGGGGAAGATATTGTTGATTTACTAGGTTTAAAAGTGTTTTATTCTCACAATTCCTGTATATTTTTTCTGTCGTAGAGGAACCACTTTTATAAAAAAAAAAACACAATTAAAAATAATCAGTTTTCAAATGATAAACTTAGATATATAATTCATACTTAATCAGACAAGGCTTTTGAGGGTACTGCCTTTTTTGTGTGGAGGGTCATTTGAAATTACGACAAAATTCCCTTTAAGAATAAAAATATGGAAAACCCTTATTTCTTGATAATGGGATATGGACGTTTAGATATTAGATTGCAAAATAGTGACATCTTTCAATGTATTATTGGACTATAAAATATCAAATGACCAAAACACGTGAAAATTTGCAACAACAAAAAACAACAACTTTACTATAAACGTTGATTCAGAAAACAAGATCCAACCAACTCAAATTTTCTAATCATTATATCCTTGTTATCTGGTGATGTAAACCTTTAATATTTTTACTTTGATTTTGTATAGAATGCATGGTTTTAAAAACGTTTCACAGGGTTACCTACAATGAATGAGACTGTATCACGTCCTAAAGCTCAAGGTTCAATAGAGTTTTCTGTCTTAGATAAAGTCGTTTAATGGTTTATTTAATAATTTGACAAAGAAAGAATCAGGTTAACAGTTGCAGGGGATCCCGAATATATGGAAACTGAATTGAATGAAATTGAGCTGCGTCGCTGAACTATCTACTGCCATGCCGGCTCAAATTTAAACCACCGTGCGATTCAAGGTTAAAGATTTGAATCGGTGCTTCATATGTGAACCGGCGGCGGTAGGCAGTTCAAATTCTGAAATCTAACCATGTATATGAAGATTAGAAAATTTTACATTGAGGCGACGACTCAATTTCTTGAGAAAAATCCCTAAAATTATGTTCTAGAATAATATAGATTTTTGTGGTTTAATGTATTTTTTTATTCGTGAGATGTTAATTATCCAGATGTTCCTGGTTTCGATTTTTGACTGATTAGAAATGTTAACATTCAGACATGTTGGCTGACAGCATAAATAACAGGATATTCATTACATAGTTAAATGTTTAATCAAAGACAATAATTTAAATTTTTATGATTCCAACTAGGATTTTCCAATCTTTGCAACCTGATGTAACCTTATATTTAAAACTATAAATTATTTTATTTAAAATTATCTAGGTTTGCTTTTTTCACCATCAGGTGGCATGGATAGAGGAATTAGAAAATCAGAATTGGAACCTTAAAAAGTTAGATTATTGTCTTCTTTGATTAAACTTTTAACTATGTAATGAATTGCTATAAAATCATATTATTTGTAACTAGTCTATTCTTTAAAACTGGCCTTTAACATTTCTTAAAAAGAAAATTAGTTGAAACGATTTTGAATAACAATTTTCTTAGTTCAAGGAATTGAGTCTTTGCCACAAACTCTGATTTTCAGATCCCTAAATCTGAGCAACCAAAAGTCGTAAACCTCAGATATTTCAAAATATGAATTCTGTTAGATCAAATTATCAAAGTTTGAAATATCAAAGGTTTACACCATCATGCTGCAAAGATATAGAGATTTAAAAATTTGAGTTTGTGGCAGACTCAATTTCTTTCTAAACAAAAGTCGACCGTAAAGTTCTTACAGTTATCTTTTTATGTTGGAAATTTAAACGTAATTTTTTTTCAGGAAAGGAGAACTTGAAAAAGCAGTTTGTAACAACAAAACAATAGCAATTTAATTTTGAATTAATTGATCTACAAACAACACCGTAAACTAAGTTTTCGGTGCATACTATAGTAATCTGCAGTATTCTGACCAAATAAATAGTGGGTATTAGTGGAGATTGACGAGGGTCAAACATTTATCTATTTGAAAAGTTCATTTGGAAAATGAAAGAAATGCATAACCTTGTTATGGTATTTCTCCAAGAAAATGTAGGTTTTATTATTCTCATATTTTTCAATTTTTCCAGTCACCCTATTTTTTAACTTTAATAATTTATTTTAATTAAGTTTTACAATATTTCAAAATATTTATATTATTTCAGATGAAAATATTTTGAGATTTCTATATTACTTGTTCATCACCTTATATATAAACCATTTAAGTTAGTGGTCTGAAGTTTAAAAAGAATGAGAAGGCCTTGAAAAGTTGGATGCACACTTTCTATCTCAACACTAAGGGCTAAATCAGGGGTGGACCTAAAAGGCATTTTGGAAACTTTTCTCAAGCTATAAAGAATGATAACCCGTTCAAACTTTCATAAATTAAGGGCTGAACCTTTCTTAACCGATTTTATTTAGAAAGGTTCCGTCCATATTTTTCGAAAGTTTTATAATAGCTTCTTATTCATTACAGATAAGCTTCAAGAAAGTTTACGGAACCTAATCGATCCGGAAAGGTCTTACGGAAATCTGAAAACTCTAAATTAGGGCTACCCGCTCAAAAAAAACAAATGATACATAAGATTACGACGACACTTAGAAGAATCTTCTACCTGTTTATTTCCTGCAGTCGTCCCCCCACCTTAGAGACGTTTTTTTACAGGGTGTATTCTCAGTTAGATATCCCAAACTACACACTGCCATGCTGAAATAAAATATAAAAATAAAATATAAAATAAAATATCAAGATAATATTTAAAGATGAAATGATATTTCTGCACATCAAATCAGGATCATACTTCATAATATAAAAGTACTAGCTTGGGAACCTATTTTTGCCTGTTTTTTATTTTTCCTATCAAAGTCAACCTGCTCAATCTAGAATTTTTATACCAAGCTAAGAACATTCTCTTGGTTTCCCCAATCAAAATTTGAGGAGAATCTGTTCACTATAAACTACGGTTAACAATTTAAGTGCCAAATAGACTTTTAACCAGCTAGAACAAGCTGTACTGTACAATTACACAATACAAAATCTGTTCACTATAAACTCCGGTTAACAATTTATGTGACAAATAGACTTTTAACCAGCTAGAACAAGCTGTACCGTACAATTACACAATACAGAATCTGTTCACTATAAACTCCGGTTCACTTTAAGTACCGAATAGACTTTTTATCAGCTAGAACAAGCTGTACTGTACAATTACACAATACAGAATCTGTCCACTATAAACTAAGGTTCACTTTAAGTACCGAATAGACTTTTAACCAGCTAGAACAAGCTGTGCCGTACAATTACACAATACAGAATCAGTCCACTATAAACTAAGGTTCACTTTAAGTACCGAATAGACTTTTAACCTACTTGAGAAAGCTGTACTGTACAATTACACAATACAGAATCTGTCCACTATAAACTAAGGTTCACTTTAAGTACCGGATAGACTTTTAACCTGCATGAGAAAGCTGTACCGTACAATTACACAATACAAGATCTGTCCACTATAAACTAAGGTTCAATTTAAGTACTGAACGGACTTTTAACCAGCTAGAGCAAGCTGTACTGTACAATTACACAATACAAGATCTGTCCACTATAAACTAAGGTTCAATTTAAGTACTGAACGGACTTTTAACCAGCTAGAGCAAGCTGTACCGTACAATTACACAATACAAGATCTGTCCTCTATAAACTAGGGTTCACTTTAAGTACCGGATAGACTTTTAACCAGCTAGAGTAAGCTGTACCGTACAATTACACAATACAGAATCTTCTCACTATAAACTAAGGTTCCCTTTAAGTACCGGACAGACTTTTAACCAGCTAGAGCAAGCTGTATCCTATAATTACACAATACAGAATCTGCTCACTATAAACTAAGGTTCACTTTAAGTACCGGACAGACTTTTAACCAGCTAGAGCAAGCTGTACCGTACAATTACACTGGAAGGAAATCCAGGATACTACGCTAAATGAATGATCTTCCCTTCTAATGACATTTATGTGTGTCAAGGGGTTTATGAGTTATGATTGTACATGCAAACAGAGATTTCTACTACTTACATGTACATAGATTAGTGATGAAAAAGCGCTTCGAAAGACCATATTTTAGAATCTTTACATTTTTTTCTTAAATGTTCATATAAAGGAACTGAGTTGTTGCCACAAACTGAAATAAGCTCATGGCTAAATCTTTGCAACCTGATAATGTAAACCATTGATATCTCAGTTCAAAGAAATATCTCAGGTCTACGATATTGGATTGAAAATATATAATGGTTTAAACGATCAGAATAAGTGGCAATAACTCAGTTCCTTAGTAATTTATTTTGTTTGTGAGGGAGAGGCAAAAATGTAGATAAAAAAATAATATCTTTCTTGCTTTTATTCTAAAATTGTATTTTCGAAATGCAATCTTAAATAGATAAAAAAATTAAATCTTTGCTTCTTGTAATCTTAAATTAAATATAAATATTAATAAAAATAAATTGATATGAATATTTGTAAATACTATTTCCATTCTCGATCCAATATATTACCAATGAGAATGATAATAAAGAATTAACCCAATAAAGAATTAACCCCAGGGTACCCATACTCCATAGGTTTCCTCAAAAGTTTCATCCAATTTAGTCCAACTATTAACATATACATAATATATATATGAGGGAAAAACTTTATTATATATCTATATACATATATATGTTATGTTTAAAGATTGTTTGTAAAATGTTATGTTCCTTTGTCATGAATTAGGCAAAAGAACCAACAATAAATATATTAAGGTTTGATTATTTGAAAAGTAATTTGTACATCTCTCTTATTCAAACTGACTTATAATTCGTGTCTTGAAAATAAACCCAGACTCGAATTTACCCTTGAAAAAGTCGCGTTATTATAAAAGTGTTCATGAAAAAATATGCCTGCTTAATGCACTATTAATCAATCAATCAATGCATAAATAAATCAAGCTGACAACAGCATGAATAATATATTAAAAAATATGGATCATAGTATAGATAAAGTTTTTTTCCTTAAAAAATACCTAGTGTCTTAGAAAGAAACAATACATTTGGAAATTCTAAGACTATATAAAGTGTTCATACACCGTAAACTAAACAAAAGGAGAGGGTCTAAGGATTTGAGTCTTTGCCACAACTCAAATTTTCTAATCCCTATACATTTTCAACCTAACAGAATTTATATTTTGAAATATCAAATGTCTACGACATTGGATTGCAATGATATAAAAAATTCAAAAATCTGAGTTTGTGATTAAGACTCAATTCCTATATGTGACATTACAGGTACGGCTTTATGAATTCGGAGCTCCTATAGTTTTGATTTTACCCAGAAGTAGGAGAAAAGCAAAGTTATTTGGTTAGAAAGTGAAAACATTTTGGTTGTTCACGAAGAAATTCTTCAATAAGAGGTGTAGTGGTTGAAAATAAAATTTCAATGTTACGCACAGTTTACATTAGTTTAACTATCTACAGTTGATTGTTTGAAGTAAAGATATTTTGAATCATCCTCAATAAACATGTATAAACATAAATTTTCATTGACCAGTTTGCACAATGAGCTACAAACATAATATCAATACACGATACAAATAAGGTATTAGTAACCCAACTAACCAGCAAGGAACCAATAATAAATCAAGACAACACGTCCTAACTTCAGCATAAAATATTGGCCAGGTGTGCACACGTCAGAGAAAAATAGTTTGCAATTTTCATGACAAATATTTATCAGTAAAAACATACTCTTTATATCAACATCTTAAAGGAACTTTAGACGTAATATCAAGTTGTCCACCATTTATAAAATCTATGTCCGTTTCCTGTAAAACCTTTATCTGGCCAAAAATAAATGTTGTTCTCAATTGTTGGAAGTTAAAGGATACCATTGTGAATTGGTGTAGCCCTGATTAAATGGAGTTTCTCTTGCCTTTATTAGAACAGTCCCTTTAAATCTCACTGCAAACTAAAATGTGTACACTCTGACATAAAAGTCGAGCAGTATTATTTGCCAATTATTCCTTCTTAAACTTAAGCTATGTTTAACCAAGGGCTACAAAAAAGTATAGTAAGTTGATAAGGTAAAACCAAAGTCCAAGGCGTTATGACACTTTAAAGTCAAGACAGTCTGATGTAAGTGAACTAAAGCCGCGTAATTCTAAGGTCTAAATGACAAGCTTTGAATTTGAAATATACAATAGAAAAGAGACGATAGAATGGAACTAAACACTTGTCACGTCAACAACTCATTTTTTAAATTTCACTGAACCAAATAGGTTGTTAATAAATAAATATTTGAAATGAGTCCCTTTAATTCAACTAAAAAGTTCAGCAAGAAATTGCATTAGAACTAAAATTGGGAATGACTTTTCAACTCTCTTGTTACAGGGTTACCCAAAAATGTGAGAATTCAAAGATAATGATGCAATATTTATAGATTCCCTTTCATATTATTTTGTATTCCTTACAACTGCAGTAGAAGTATTGTACTAATAGCCAAATTATTAATTTTACAATTCATGTCAATTTTTTAAGAAAATAAAGGAGATATTTCTGCCATTGTTTCTAGATAGATGAAGGTTATTAATGGCCGCTCTACACCACAATATCCTTAATTGTCTCTTTGCTCAGATTATAGGTAGGTTAGATCTATGTGAACTCTGATGAATCGATATGAATGCTGCGAATTATTTCTATAAAACTAAAGTAAAACAAAATGCTAAGTTATACTTAGGGGTAATGTCAGGCCAACAAAAAATTATAAGTGAGTTAGTGTGGTAAGTTCAAAGTTTAAGGCGTTCCAACACTTCAAATTAGACCCAGTCTTTGAAAGTTTAAAGCAGTCAGGAGTTTTGTGAAGGGTAAGTGAACTAGGCTAACCTTTTCACTAAACATTTACCACAGGCTTTAATTTTACAATAATTGTATCTAAGCGATTTCATATATATTATAAGAGTGTTTTAAATCGAATGTTTGAGAAGGGTTTATAATGTTTGAGAAGGGTTAAGAAGAGTTGAGAAGGCTTAAGAAGGTTTGAGTAGTTTTATTTAGGTTTGAGAAGACTTGAGAAGATTTGAGAAGATTTGAGATGGTTTTAGAAGGTTTGAGAAGGTATCAGAAGGTTTAATGGTTTGAAAAGGTTTAAGAAGGATTTAGCTGGTTTGAGAAGGTTGGAGAAGGTATTGAACGAATAGGAAATGAGAAGAGAGGGAATTTCAAGGATTAAAGTACACTTATCTCTTTAGATAAATATATGGAAATGAGCTTTAAAGGAAGCGTAAATGTAAGTTTAAGTGGCCCTCCATGCAAAGATGACAATGCCCAAATCCCACCGGTACCCTTGAAATCTTTGATGGATTAAGAATGAATTGGATATCAACGTTAATAATTTCATAAACTGATCATCTTCACTTGTTTATTATATACAACAGTTACTTGTCAGGAATACAAATAGGAATTATAAGTGTTAAATACTTTAAAGCTAGAAATACGACTATATATTCCACATTAATGAGCAGATAAAGGTTTCTTCAAGGGTACCGTTGTTAATCCAATGTAAACTCCAGTTTATTTCAAGTACCAAAGCCGACTTTTAACCAGCTAAAGCAAGCTGTACAGTACAATTGCAGACTGTTTAAGGCAAACCGGGACAATAAGACAAATAAATAAGCCCCATTAGTGAAATTTATGTGAATCGGACAGTGCCATTATTGCATGGAGGGTCACTTGAAATTACGCTCACAGAGAGGGAAGGGGATGAATGAATAATAAGTGAACGAAAAAAGTGTGATTTGTCTAACTTAAACTTTTATAAAAAATATAAATGGATACAATAACACAAGGATATCAAAATACCGAATTATAGTTAAATGAGATGGTTTAGGGCGGAGGGAAACAAAGATAAAGATTCTAGGATACAAGGATAAAGTGATATATAGGAGACAAGCATTACAGATTACTTGAATATAGTGATACAATGGGGTTAGAATACAAGGATACAAACAGACAATAATGCAAGGATACATTTGTACACGAGTTAAAGGATCTAAAAGGATACAAGACAAGAATGAAAATACCGGAGCACTGAATTGATTATAGAGGAAAGAAGTACACAGCAATACGAATGCACAAAAATAGCAATTCAAAATTATACGAAAAAATGAAAAACAATTACAATACACAATTGTACAAAAAATCAAGGACATCTCACGGGCAGCCGTAGTACATTTGAATTTCCGAGCCGGGTCAGAGGTGCGTGATCTAAACTTTAACTTTTTTTTGGAGAAAAAAGTTTTAGAATCCAAATAAAGGACAAAAATAAAAAATAAAAAATATCACTAAACTACATAAGTACAAAGTTATTATTTAGAAATTACAAATGTTTGATATTGTCTCAAGAAAGAAAATGGTATTCTAAAGTTTTGTCAAGGGCCACTCTAGAATACGATAGCGTTATTTAAAGAAACTCTGGGGTAATAGCTGCTAAATAATGAAAAAAAGATAATCTAAAACTGTAAAACTAGATGACAACTTCAAGAAAACTGCGAACAAAAATAATTTAGTGTCATTGCCCTCAGAATTATGTGTACTGTTTATTATGTACAAATATTATTTTTTTCTATATGACTGCTCAAACAAATGACGGAAAAATTTGGAATTGCCCTTTTTGAAATTGATTAGAAATACATGGCCGGTGTGAATAAATTCAACAATGTTTTTTTGAAAATCCTGGAAATAAATTGTTAGTTACCTGGTACTGGTGTCATGAGGCCTAACTGTAGTAAAATGGCGCTTTTCCCAACCGTCTCATGACTGAGCCTCCTTCTCTCTCTCTCTCCTGCCTCGTTCTCTCTCTGTGTGTCTCTCCTCTTCCAACCTCCTCGTCTCCTACTTGTCATGAGATGTTACCACGGGTTATATCTTTTCTACGATTTATACAACTCACAGAGCTCTCAATTCAATTACATGGAACTCAAAGTAAACTCTTCTTGAACAAACAAAGTGCTTTTATTCGAAAAACACAGAGTTAAAAAGTATTTATATGAGTTTAAAGCCTTACAAATAAAAAAAGAGAAAAGCACAGATTAAAAGGTTGCAATGCCTGATTCACAACGATACCCTGAAAGGTTTTGCCTAATCAAGAATGAATTATATATTATAATGAAAACTGATTAAACTCAATGGGGGTTTCACTAGAAAAGTAATTAGCGAATATCTTAATTCCGAATTAAAGATAAAGGCCAGATAAGAAAGAAAGTCGATATTCTGACTGGTTTCTAATTTTAATGGGGTTCATTTAACTTTTAGGTTGATTTTGAAGAAAAAGAGAAAAAATTTGGGGTAAAAACTTTGCATTAAACATTGGCAATGCCATTCCGAATAAGAAAAATAATCTTTTATAAGTTTTAGATTCAAAAGACTTTAATTTTTTAAAAATGTGTTTGATAAAAAAAAATTAAAATAACCCCAACTCCAGTAGAAAACGTGTATGGAGTTGCATTTAATGTTCAAAGCCCAATTTGTCAAGGCCATAATGTTCAAATATATGTATATTTAAACAATGAAATACAGCAGTTGTGCAGTGTAAACAGACACATTTCACAAAAAAAGGAATTTTATAAGTGTCTGGTAAAGCTATTTGCTTTGTAACACCATCAAATACACTTAAGTAATTCAGTATTGTCGTCTTCCTATTCCATTGTTTTCTGGTTATTACTGTTTATATTTAAATATTTAAATGAGCGGAGAGCTTTATTTATAGATATAATATGCTATAGCTGGCTAAATGGACTTTTGCTGACTTTTTTGGAGGTCACCCCAGTACCCTGGGGTGAGATAGGCTAAAGAATTCTAATTTTTTTTTATTTGATATTTTTTGTTGTTTAAGATAGAGATCTAAAATTAACATTTATTAAAATGTAGACATCTGTGACATGTTATCATTTTATAATTTGTTCTTCAAAAGTCGAAATTTTTCTCAAGGGTTTTTAAAACTCCACGGGCAACACCGCGCACTTCAACTAGTATATATATATAAGCGAAGATCTTAATTATAAGATTAATAAAACCAGTACACCGCACAACTAGAGAAAATTACTCTATTTATTAAGAATGAATTTAAAACAAAAAGCTATCTACAACGCACTTTATCAGTCAATCAACAGTAGTTTGTTAAAGTATATTAGAAACGAAAATTGTGGTAATACATGTTCCGAACAAGACTCTTTTTGATGTAGTAAGTTTAGCGCGTGGAGCAAAGAGCTTTATTATATAGATTTAGGAAGACTCATAAAACTATAGAATAGTAAGACGACATTTTAGGAATCTCATATCTATTTAGTGTTGTTATTTTACTGTAAACTACGGTTCATGTTACAGTAACGGGCCAACCTTGAACCTGCTATAGAGCAAGCTATATGCAGTACACATACAGAAAATATAAGAAAAAACGGACAGTACGCCAAAATGTATGGGATTTAAGTGAAATGGTTCTGTGTACACTGCATAACTGCGGGTTTTTAATGTTCAGTGGACTATTTAAGATTTAAAGTGAGAACCAGAAAACGAAAAGGAAGACGACTTGTATAATGAAGTGTGTCATGAACATGACACAACATTGTGCAGTGAAAACAGGCCCAGTTCACGTCGTAAGCATAGAGAATAGAAAATATATTAGAGGGGAATTTGAAAATCTCTCGGTATGAATTTTTTCAGTCCCTTTCAGTCTGAAAGGAAGTTCAAAGTGTACAAATCATTTAAATGTTCACAAATTATATGCAGTAGAGTACATTAATACAGTATGTTCCCTAGACTATTCATTTCAATTTCGAATTTTTAAAGCTGTTAAATAAACTTTATAATAAATTAGGTGAATAAAAAACATCATTTGATTTATAGTTTTAACGGAAAATCATCGTTTGTAAAGTGAAAGGCGTAGAGTCTATGTGAAATGATCATTGGTCAATTATGAAACCAGCTTATTTCATAATTTGGTTTTCTTTTAAAATTATTTTTAGATTTTCTATAAAATGATTTTCCAGGGCCCAAAAGGTTATATAGCATAAATATGTGAAGTATACCTACAGTATGGAAACAGTACAACAAAATGGCCGTTTTACACTTTTTTCTAGTAAATTCCCCTCTAATATATATTCTATTCTCTTTGGTCGTAAGTTATTTAATAAGTCACGGTAAAACTATTTGTTTTAACAATATCAAATACACCTTAAATAGCTTCAGTGTTTTCTTCAAACTTGTTTTGTTTTTTTACTGTTTGTAATACTGGAGAATATAGAGGTGGTGTATCCTGCAGGATTTGAATCGGCTTGGCGGTAGGGACCTCGCAAATTCATAAAATACGGTGCAAGAGCAAATATTTAACACATGGAAAACCTAGAAGGCTTATTTAGGAATAATCTGATTATTATTTGTAGAGCATTGAATATAGGGCATAGAATACTCATTTACAGGACATAATAGAATACTCATTTACAGGACATAATAGAATACTCATTTACAGGACAAAATAGAATACGCAATTACAGGACATAATAGAATAACATAACATAACATGAAATACTTATTTTTAAAGCTATATATGGCTTATTCAAGGAGATAGAAAACGTTTAAAAAGGATAAAAATAATTAAATAAATAGTGGTTGGAGTTTAGATAAGTTAGAGTATAGAATTAAAAGAATATATAGTAAATATTAAATCTAGAAAATTAATAATCTGAGCAGGAATATTTGTGTCGGATACCTATAATCCACATAAATTAATCTGCAGATTAACATAAATCGAGCACAAGTATTGATCTTGATATCCATAATACAAGAGTTCCAAGCTCTGGTGTATTTAGACCCCAATGAAGACCAGCATTATCCCCATGAATTTATGTGATCAAGAATCTAGAAAGTATAAATTTACAAACTACTATTTAAAGAACAATTTAAAGTTTGAAATCCTTTAATACATCTTATACTTTAACAGGAAGCTTTAAAGTCAAGGCAGTATATTTAGGTAAAGTACAGATCGAAGCCTCCCCTCACATGACGTAAGCAAGGAAGTGTAGGGTGGAGGAGGGGGGGAGGGACGCAGGAGTTAAACATTCCAACGGGCATCAGAGTTTGTACTATGGACTTTTTTTAATTTGAATAAAAGCTGTATAAACTTACAATTGGAAAATTTCTGGACGAATACGTGAACATTGTTGTGTTATTTTTGGC